GGAAAGGAACTATTGTGTCACAAGACGCTAATTGCTAGCTGTGGTAAAGTCGTTGCAGCATTTTAGCAAATATCTTCTGGGACGAAAATTTCGCTTACGAACTGACCATGCTGCACTAAAATGGCTATTGCAGTTTAAAAATCCAGAAGGACAAGTTGCGAGGTGGATTGAACTACTGCAAGAATACTACTTTGGGATCGAACTTCGCAGTGGGAATTCTCATGGCAACGCAGATGCATTGTCACGAAGACCTTGTCCTGAAGATTGCAAACATTGTACTAGGCAGGAGAGTAAGGAAGTGGTATCCGTGAGGATTCTCAGGACAGACCACCTCAGCAACGAGTGGAAGGACAGCTACAACATGCACAGCAGGATGATCCGGACATCAAGCCGATTCTGGAATGGATGAAGGCCAGTGCTCCCAAGCCCAAGTGGAGCGACGTCTCAGCGATGAGTTCGTCCACTAAAAGCTATTGGGCCCAATGGGACAGCTTGCTGCTTCAGGATGGAGTTCTGTGCCGTAAATGGGAAAATGTTCGGGGAGACAGCTGTCACTTGCAAATGGTTGTCCCTAAAGCTAAAGTACCGGATGTTCTACAGCTGTACCATAATGATTGTTCCGGAGGCCATCTGGGAGTTAAACGAACTCTACTGAAGATCCGAGAACGGTTTTATTGGGTCCACTGTCGAAACGATGTCGAGGACTGGTGTCGCAAATGTACAAGTTGTGCGGCTGTAAAGGGACCTAAGACTCGTAGTAGAGGTGCATTGAAGTTGTACAATATTGGTGCACCATGGGAGAGAGTAGCCATTGACGTGGCGGGGCCGTTTCCGGAGAGTGAAAACGGTAACAAGTATTTCATGGTTGTGATGGATTACTTCACTAAGTGGCCAGAAGTCTTCGCCGTTCCAAATCAAGAAGATTCAACAGTTGCAGATAAACTAGTTCATGAAGTCTTCTGTCGTTTTGGAGTACCTTTAGAGATTCACAGCGATCAAGGAAGGAATTTTGAGTCTCAAATATTCCAGGAAACTTGCCGAGTTATGGGTACTCATAAAACAAGAACGACTTTTTATCACCCGCAATCTGATGGAATGGTAGAACGATTTAATCAGACATTGGAGAGGTACCTAGCAAAAGTTGTAGACAATCGGCAACGAGATTGCAACAAGCACATACAACCGTTTTTGTTGTCATATCGAAGCGCTGTTCACGAAAGTACAGCAGTGACACCAGCTTTCGCAAACTTTGGAACAGAATTACGGCTGCCTGCAGACCTGATCACCGGGATACCACCTGATGCTCCACGCAGTATAACTGATACTACTGGTACGGTTTCATAAAATCTGTCCTCAAAGCAAAAGCCTCGTCGCCAATAAATACATAAGGCAATTCTTCTGAATGACCGCTTGGTTTTCTGGGGCTAGGAAGATTTAAGCGCTTGTAATTCAATCTTTGAAAGAATGTAGTTTTTTGTAATACACTTCCATCAGAAATACGTCCATTTGTTCCAATATCTACATAAATAAATTCATAATTTGCATTTGCAATTCCCATAAGTACAATACTGTGATACCCTTTATAATTAAGAAAATGTGAGCCGGCTCCGGCAGGAGGGACATGTTTCCCATCGACGGCTCCTAAACAATTTGGAAATTGCCATGTACGCTCAAACTCTTCAGCAATTGCTAGCCATTCTTCTTCTGAACTCGGGAACTGTAACAAAAAAAACCCATAATTCAGTATAAATGATATCATTTTTATTTACAGAGTACCATTTGCAACGTGTCATCACCTATGGCACCTGCAACATCTGTTGCTTCATCTGCACGTCGTAAGCGACAAGTCAATGCCGCCATTGAAGACACAATATCGTTAATAGGTAAAAGATTGCAAAACCCAGATGATGAATATGATGCTATAGGAAATAATGTCGCAATTAAACTCCGCAACATGACTGCTATTCAACAAGGCATAGCTGAAAAGCTCATCAATGAAGTTATTTTTTTGGGACGGTTTGAAAAATTAACATTCAATACAAGTATACATAATCCAGTTCCAGTCCAGGTACCCCAAAGACCATTGATACACATGCCAGCTGTTCCAGTCCAGCTGCAAGAAACACAAGCATTTAATTTGACACAAGACTCGCAAACTATTAGTATCCCGGACACCCTGGTTGAATATTTAAACTTTAATAATAATGACTAAAAATAAATAAAATAGTACGTTACATTTGTATATGTTCAAGAGTAAATTTATTTGTTAAGCATTAATGTTAATGTGCCATTGCAAAATAAAGTCTGATTATTTGTACTGAGTTATTTTATTTATAAAGTATGTAATAAATGATACATACCTTCAAATATGTTTTAAGTGCAGAGTAGATTGCGTCACATCTCTCAGGAATTATGTACCCCAATGACTGTCTTGATATCGCTGACGAATACATTACATCTTTATATGTTCCATCAGTTATCAAAAATCGTAATGTTGCACTTAAACGTTCATGCGGTGAAATAGCTTCTCTCATGCAAGTATCCTGTTTAGCTATAATTGGTGTGACTAAACACAAAAGTTCTTCATACACAGGCTCAGGCATTCTGAAATAATTCTGGAAATCTTCCTTCTCTTCACGTAACTCTCTTACTAAATTCACATGTGATAAACGCTCTCTTTTTGTAAGCCAGTTCTTAACCCACACTTTTCGCCTTCGTCTATTGTTTTTAGTTTTTGAAATGTAATACGATATAATTTCTAAATAACACAAAGCTTCTTCAGTGGACGACGTCGCGATACGGTATGAGTAAGTTGGCGCGTATGTCGCCGACGTCGAGCCAAGTAAGTTCGCGATCTTAAAAACCGCCTACTTTAAGTTCGTACGTCTATCACCCACTTAAGGCATCGCAGAACTCTCATGTGGGCGCAAGTATGGTTCAATCATTGTCAGAATATTAGTTAGTACTTCATCTAAGTAACATAATTAACATTTCGCAATGTATTTTTTTACTTTCTAATGACATCCTTTAATAACCACGGAAAGTCCGCCGTGACAAAAAAAATTGCAAAGTAATATGGACACTAGCGCGCAGCGATAAAGTTTTATTTAGCTTGCGTGTGCGATTTATCTGATTAATAATTATAATGTAGGCTATTAAACGTCGGTAAGCAGTCGACATCAAAGGAGTGCAACTTCTGTATGTAGTACTACTATTTATTCTGTGCCTTAAGGCCGAATACGACGCGAATGACCTTGCCCGTTTCGCAGCGAACCACGCGCCGCCAGTACCTACGCTTTTATATAGACATGTATAATACCTATAATCAAAGCCGTACGGACTTTGATTATATTTGACGAACTAGCTCAGATGCAGAGTAATGAACAACACAGAGAGCATTGCCTACTTCTTAAATAAATTTTTCTTATTTATAATATTAGTTCCTATAGATTATAAATTCTGTACTTTATTCGTTATAAAATATTGTTCGAAAAGTTATTGAATTGATAACGACTTTTTTTCTTTATTGGTGCATCGTACGTAAAGAACCTCATATAATTGAAAATGTTTGTTCTTGTGAGTCTTACAAGATGCCGTAATGCAAATTGCATAAATAATAAAGAAAAAAAAAACTAAAAAGTCGGTGATTGCCCCATATGGGGATAGGTACTGTGTATGTAAATTCTCACAAGACTACTCCGACTGGTCAATCACTTCACATCCGAAGTATTTCGGTTTTTCTTAATTATGTACTTATCCCATGCTTTCGGACAATACATTGACTGACATTATTTGCGGTCTCTGTGCTTGCACTACTCTGTACATTCTTTTCCGACTGGGTCTTGGTATTTTACATTTTTAGTGTTTCTCACTTGAAACTAGAAAAGTATAAATGATCAGTTTGGCTAATGTAAATGAGTAAAAATGCAACCTATTAGGCAGCCTCAAACAAAAAATTACCTTACAAAAATATAAGCATTAACCTCAAAATACAACATTCGAGCAGCGTTCATGCGATAAACTCTCTTTGTTTTACCACTTAGGTAACATTTATTTCTTTTCCTACCCATATTTACATTTATAGACACTTAAACGCGTATAAAACAATAAATTAACGATTTTCGCTACAGACACATCGACTGTTGTTACCTTACGTCACACGTCGAAGCGCCTGGTAATTTATTACGGCAAACTTTTATCTGGCAATATACGATATTATTATTAGGTGTTTTTAATTAAAACGAATTATGTTAATAAATAATATTTTGTATCGAAAATAAAGATAGCAGGTACCTTCGGAATCACAATACAAACATATTTACGTAAAAGAATTTTTCCTAAATTAAAATTCACAGAGTTTTGAAAGAACAATAATTTTATATATCATTTCTTAATATTTTTTTATTTGTTGGTATATTCATTTATTTTAAAATGACGGTGACCTTGTGTAGGACCCGAACAAACCTACAAAAATGTTTAGCTTTAAAGCTTAGAATTACTTCAGGTCAAAGTTCTAGTCAAGAGAAATACATTAATTTTCGCCAGTTCTCTTCGTATTCGGCCTTAAGATAAAAAAAAATGGAAATACACTCGCCTAGTTACACTCCCGTGCCTATTTGGTGTACTTCACATTCACATGACCCGAAAATAATTACTTCGGTCGGCCGGAGTTTTAATGTGAGTTTTTCCTATCATCAGCCAGTGCTTGACTGCAATCCCACCTGACGGTAAGTGGTGACTAGCCCTAGATGGCAAATTGCAACATCTTACCGTAAAAAAAACCTATTCACTCTCGCTGTGGAGACGCCAACCTTGTATTCGTACGGAAAGACAGACGTCGGTAAATTATTCCATTTCTGACATCACATCACTGAAAGAGTGATGCCAAAATGGTTAAACTTAAAGGTTTTAAATAAAACAAGAAGTGTATCAACTATTTTATAATCACATGAAGATAGTTAAATATTAGAATAGCATAGAAACATTAACAGTATTTCAACCTAATCTGCGTAGTTCTCGAGGCTGAGTGTGCAGACGTCGCTGACGAGGCAGTCCGCCGGCTGTAACAAAATATATTTTACATTACTAATGAAATTGATGGAAAATTATTGTGTATGTAATACTTATTGTATTTATTTACTTGTAAAAATCTAGTGATAAAAGGCCTACAGTCTCGTGGGTGTCATAAAAGGCGACAGAAGGAAACTAAACAGTGTAGCAGGAATGGGTCGACTCGACCGAGGCAGGACCACGCTCTCACAGAATACCAGCGTTAAAAAACAGTTTAACGCTGCTGTGTTTCGTATGCTCAATGTTGAAAACCGGAGACCCTATTAACTGGGAACGAGGCAATCTTAGTACTCAGGGGTGTCAACGCAATTGCATTTGATTCTTATTTGAGGATAAAGGGGGCTGCAGCATCCACTTACCATCAGGTGGACTGTATGCTCGTTTTTCACTCTATTCTATAAATAACTTATCGTTGTAGTACGAGAATGTCATCACCTCTGAACAGATACCGATGAGCGCGTCCGCACATCCGTAGAACTCCTCCTTGAGTGAGATGACGATGGTCTGCAGGCTGCCCTTCTTGGAGCGGATGTAGGAGGCCACCTTGCCAATGTTGGTGTTGTCTAGTGCCGCGTCGATCTCGTCCAGCAGGAAGAACGGCGCTGGTTGATAACTGTCCGTAAAGCGAATTCGTTAGTCAAATTACTACCCGTGCGGTTACAGAATGGGATTGAAATTGGCGTCTCCTCTATCCCTCTTACCTCTATACCTCTCGCTCGCACACTATTGCTATCTATACTCAAACCTGCCGGTAGAGACAGCAAAAAAAATAGGTTGCGATATGCGTTTTTCGTGTTTTATATAACTTCAGTCCAACTTGTCATTTGAATCAATAATAACAAAATGCCATAAAATACAAAAAAAAAACAATATACAACAATTTTTTTTATTGGTGATTGATTTGGTGATTTGAAAATTTCTAATTTGTGAGCTACGATGCGTTCTAAGAGTTTTCTTCATAATAGAGTATTACACCCACTTTCAAATAGTGTTTTAAATGAATCCTAGAATGATAATGAACCACTATAATTTTTATATATTATTTTTAAAAACCGAATAGTGCCATAAAAATTACTTTTAAGGAGAGGAGGAATTTAGGTTTGGAAGTGGAGGACCTGTGTATGGCGAAAAGCAGCGCGAGCGCGTCGACGGTCTTCTCGCCGCCGGACAGGTTGGACAAGGCCTGGAAGCGCTTGTAGTTGACGTATATGTATAATAAGGAGTAGAGGAGTTGAGGTGCGAAGAGGAGGAGTTTGGGTGTAGAGTCACCTGTGTATGGCGAAGAGCAGCGCAAGTGTGGCGACGGTCTTCTCACTGCCGGACAGGTTGAACATGGGCTAAATGCGCTTGTATTTGACTTACATGTATAATAAGGAGAAGAGAAGTTTAGGTGCGAAGAGGAGGAGAGGAGTTTGGGTGTGAAGTCACCTGTGTATGGCGAAGAGAAACGCGACTGCAGCGATGGTCTTCTCGCTGCCGGACAGATTAGATATGGGCTGGAAGGGCTTGTAGTTGACTTATAAGGAGGAAGGGAGTTTAGGTGCGGAGAGGAGGAGAGTAGGAGGAGTTTGGGCGTGGAGTCACCTGTGTATAGCGAAGAGCAGCGCGAGTGCGGCGACGGTCTTCTCACCGCCGGACAGGTTGGACATGGGTTGGAAGCGCTTGCCGGGCGCCACGCAGTTGTAGTTGATGCCGTCCAGGTACGGCTCCTCCGGGTTCTCGGGGCCCAGGAACGCCTGCGCTGACTGGTTCATTGCCAGCGCCTGACACACGTACCGACATACTTGTAAGTATTTTTATCTATACATATTGTTACGACAGCAAGTTGCGTATGGTATCACGTTGCACAAGAATGCTTCCGATGACAATGATCGATAGCCTCTGTAAAGTAATTAAATGCGTAGAAATAAAATAGATAACGATCAACTATTGATTCAAGTAAGACTCAACATTATGACTATATAGACTTTTCTCCGTTGGACATATTGTTGTCTGGACAAATTCTGTAATTGCGAGTGTTCTAGTATTTTCCGATACGAAGTAGAAAGTTCTATATCCCTCTTTTTGAGTATTAAAGCGTCTGCCGGCGATCGGAATATTAATTCCTTCGAAAAAGCAAAAGTAAACTCTACGACAAGAAACAACTACGAGCAATCGAACTACGATATCTACGATTAACAACAACCTCACGAGAAGGAGCTCAACGACGCTGGACGACGCAATGAGATGATAAGATGAGAAATGGTACGTAGAAGTTGCATCCAGCTTAAAACAAGGGCCACAAATGAATTGTTACCCTTGAAAACTAGGAAATACCTTATAACACTGGCTTTACTACCCTTTAAATTAAAACACTACGGAGTGTTCACTGCTGTTTGGTGGCAAAAATAGATAATACAGTGTACCAACCCCCTGTAGGGTTAGCCAAGTTTATATGAAATTTACAACAAGCGCCTAGCCCCTAAGCAACCACGGCTTGTTGCGGGTCGTAGTCAACTAAAAGCTAAACTATTAGCCTCTCAGTCCCCAAGTGGTCTAATCCGACCGCAGTGCTATTCAGTCAAAATTCAAGCGGTCTTTGCCTTCATAGAAAAGTAGTCTCTAAATATAAGTTATAATGGTTTTAAGTGCTGCGGGTGGGTCCGCTCTGTATTTGCCGGGCGCATGCGACTGCATGGGATTTTTATTGGGATTGAGGGGTTAAAATCAGAAGAAACAATCCGTTACAATATTTAGTGAAGCAAAATAATACTCACATGAAAGGTACAGTAATTTTTATTCAATAACTACCAACCAGCTCCGACAGGTTTAAGGCGAATAAAGCTTATTGTACAATTATTTCGTTTTTCAAAAATATATCTAAAATATTATCTACTCCCCCCCCCCCCCGTGCATAGCTCTCTACCAGCTCGTAAAGTTTCATCACAATTGGTTTAGCCATTCGAAAGACCAGCTCGGACAAACGGACAGACAAAACTTCTAAAATCCTATGTTTTAATAGCATGAAAATAACCCACTGAGCATAATATAAACCAGGTACTTCGAAATTACACACAGACACTTCAAATATTTCTTGGGATATATGTGCGCAAGTGTTACAAATGAGCACACAATCCCCATGTTATGAGGTTACTGTGGCCCATATATATTTACTCCAGTCAAACCGACCCATTCATGTTTCAACCACAATATCAATAAAGATTTTTATGTCTATATAGATTATTTATATGAATATAGACGTATAGATAAGATAAAATAACAATCAGACAAAATCACCTTGTAAATGGCGTCAATTTCGTTGGCCACGTGCTCGAAGCAGTCAATGAACTTATCGTGTCGTTCTTTTTTGACCTGGAAATTTGCAAGAAATTGAAAATAAATATACTGAAACGTAAATATTTAAAATATATAACAATTTTGACATAAAATTTGATTCGAATTTTTAATTAAAAACCCGTACAGTGATCATGATTCAAAAGTCCCATCCCATGCCTATTTAAAGTTCACGTCTAGACATAGGCACGTTCTGGAATATGTCTATGTCAAGACTTAAACATCTATGGAGATGTCTCATATTTAAGTATTTACCATAAATGCCACACCTGCAAGGTGGATCAGCTATTTTTTTCATTCGGCCCATTTCCCGTTTTAGTTTACCTCTGTCCCCACCCACGGGATGATATAAAGGATAAGTGCATTCTCTTATGTCGCCCAAACGGAAATAGTGCTGTACATTAATAAAACAAGAGCAGAACTTTCCAACAATATATATTAGATGATAATAATATGAAAGATAATTTAGATTAAATGTTAGTGGTTAAAATTAATTCCAAAAATACCTTTTCAAAAGCTAACTTTGCCTTGTGTGCTCGTTTCCGCGCCGCTACGAACGCTTCATTGGTCGCGTTCACTTTTTCTCGCACCTCGTTCAGTTTTTGCATTGCCTGGAATATGCGAGGATAAAATTAATAATACAACCGCAAAAAGATTAGGCGCAGGAACAACGGCTTTACGTGCTTTCCGAGGCATGAGGATGAAATCACCGCCAACTTTCTGACTACGGCCTGAGAATTTATTGACAAAAAAAAACCCAAGAACTGATTTTGGCCCGGCCCGGATTTCAGCACGGCTCTAAGCCTTACTGCTTCATGGTACTCTCGCAGATTACTTGCCTTCTTCTTGACTCATAGTACACTACAAGGCAATCCCTGGCACTTGTACATTCGTCGACAACCGGACTGCACACCGACCTCCGTTCTGAGCAGAGAGTGATGTGGTGGCGCTGCCGTCGCGCCACAGGCGTAACACACCCAAGCTTAAATCGCGCTATCAAAGGTCCGAAGTTACCGCGCTATATATAGAACAGCTCCGAAACAACACACGGAGCGTTGCTCCTCCTCTCCCCTTTTCCTCCCACGGCCAGAGAACCCAGCACCTCGGGATCTGAAACCGCGTTTACGACTACCAGACCAATCAAAAGTAGAAAGAAAATCAAAAGAATATGTTCTCTAGAGATTATGATAGTTGAAGTTGAAGTAGAATGGGTGTCGCTTTTACAAAGTAATTTAAGTCGAAAGAAAAAAATTTTATTTTCTTACCTACGTGAAGTCATTTTTGCGAACAAAAATTGATTGGACTCTCACGGTGGTTCAACAACCAATTTATGGTAAGATATGAAATCGTAGATTGGATATGACAATTTTATTCAATATCATTAATTTTATTTATTTGATAAATTTGTTATTACTTAATTGTTTAAACAGTTAAGTTATAACACTTTATACTAGCTGTGCCCGGCGGTTTCACTCGTGTATATCACGTGTCTGAGCAGCACGACACGTCAGTTCACTTATTGATTGGATCATTGGTGGTTTCTCTCGGTTCTCATCGGGTAGCTAGATATTGTTCGCGTGCCGAGACGAATGTTGAATAATTTAATTTTGCATTATCTCTTAAACTATGCGTCCAAATAACTTGCTATCTTCATAAAATTGTCTTGATGATGAAGTAAGTATCTTTCTTAATGATTAATATGCTATGACTAATAACAACGCTCATGAATATTTTTTAATTTTCACTAAATTTTGTAACAAAATATCTTACTATGCTGTGTATAAGAAATAGGCCTAGGATATAGCGGGCTATTTTTTAGATGGAAGGTAGATCTATATTTTTGTAGAACAATGGTATTTATGTATCATTAGCCATTACGCCAACGCTCGCGGATAAAATAGTCGGGAGCGGTTTTTCTTCCGATTTACTTAATGCTAGATAACCTATACTATTCCTCTTGAATCTGCCTATCAATCAGAATTTACTAAAACGGACTGGTAGTTCCAGAGCTTAGCGTGTTACAAATAAAACACCCAATGATTTCTCATATCTACGCGTACACTACACATTAAATGAATATAAACGCGATAAAATCCGTAAGAATTAGTTCCATTAAAATAGAATTCGCTCAGTCTGTCAACACAGCGAATCGGGTATGTAGTAGTAATAATACGACGTAATTGCTTGTATGTGTGTTCCCGCCGACGCCGATACTCGTACAAAATAAGGTTGACAGCCATTCTATTGTGTATTACAGTATTCTATGCTTGAATCTAAATAATATTATACATATTATATTATATAATTTATAAGCCCAATGTAATGTCTATAGACCAAATTAATGTCTATAGACTGAAACCTTACATCTTTAGAGTCAATAGATCATAATATATTCAACCAACCCTCATATTAGGCGCTTGTATCTTGTCGACAGTGTTTTGCAACGAATTGATCGCTTTTTGCAACTTGTCGCCCTTGCGCTTGATTTCGTCCGGTTCCTCCAACTCCTTCAGAGACTCGGACAACGAGCGGTAGTCCACTCGGATCCTGAAAATATACATGACATAACATCAAATTACACGCCTGTTACCTAGTGGTGTAGGAAGAGACTACCGATTTCAATTTGGCACCATCCTGAAATATCCTGTCTCGCTTCTTTCATGCTCGGCGGTTAAGGGTACACTAGCCACTCATTCTTCCATTCAAACGTTGTCTGGCGATTACTCCACTGTTTGATGGTATACTTTCAAAATAAAAAAATGTTTTCAGTTTGTCTCATCATTATCTAGCCCTGTGTGGAAACAAAAAAGTAAAAGAAGAATATATTTAAAAGTACTAATTTTAACACATCTTTGGGCGGAAATAAATACCATAAGAACGAAAGTTGAAAAACAGTTACCACACAGGGATAGATTAGGTGTTCAAAAGTGCAAATCATTTTATTTTGATACTTTACATATACATTCAATAGATTTTTCATGATATCCAGATTCCCAAAGGTCTGATTATAAAATTTCGCGTGCTCGTTTTGTTGTAAATTATCATGCCTTTCGCTTTCGCACATGATGTCGGCTGAGACAGCATGCATTTTAACCCCGCCCACCACTTAGTTCGTGCCATCGACTAGGGCCACCTTAAAGGTCTACACACACGTACCACAACCACAACCAAAACCACACCATAACCACAACACGTTGCCGGGCGCATTTTGTATCGGAAATGAATAGTACAATTTACATGCACCACATATTACCGTCATTATCGACTGCGTGAATGATATCGGCTAAAATGCAACTACTACGGAACCACACGGAACTAGCGGCCGCTACAAGCGAAAACGCAACCACATCGACATTTTGTCGCATAACCACAACACAACTGCAAAAAGCTGCAGCGAAACTATTCACAGGCCACGTGTGAATAGTTTCTGTCGCTGCGATGAGGTGTGGTTGTGGTACGTGTGGGTCGATCCTAAGGGTACTTTCATGAAAATAAATTTTTATTTCTTCATTTTATTTCTAAAACAGAGCGAACGGAAGTCAAGTTTATGACGTAGGCAGAGTGCTCCGGTTAATTCGACGAGATTTCAGGTTCGAATTTGTTTTGGAGCTAGCAGTTGTACAAAAATATAAACTGTGGATATTCTGTTCGTGTAGTGATCGTCCCCAGTGTCATTGCTTTTTAATGTTTTCGCCCCATCCATCCATCCATCGATTACGGCCTGATAGCCTGGGCTTATAGAAATCCACTGCTGAACATAGGCTTCCTACATAAATTGCCTAATATGCAGGCGGGCTAGAAACCACAGTTTTTTATTATTGTAAATAGTTATCAAGATTAAGCTGCTGCCCATCTCTTGTCTCAGTTTCACTCCGTCACCTCCCACAACACCCACGAGACGATTATGTAGTGGATATTTTTACACCACCACTACACGGTCATTTGCCACGGCCAGCTATTTGCACACTATGTTTAGAAAGGCTGATTTAAATGGCTGGCTTTTGCCGTTATGCCCGACGGGGTCGATAATAACAATGAAAGAAATGCAATGGAACTTTTTTTTAAACCAGAAGAACCCAATGAAATTTTGTCTGCGGAGACAGCACGCAAATATTTTTCATATCACCATGACTGGAAAACATAGTTTTATAAGAAATAAGGGTCACGAAGGAGCATACAATCCACTTATTGGTAAGTGGATGCTGTGCCCATAGATATTTACGTTGTCACCCCTGGGGACTATAGAATACCTCGCTTTCAGTAAAATGTCGTCGGTACTCTACACTCACCATACGAAACACAGCAGCATTAAGTTGCTATTTTTTGTTTTCTGTATTTTATAAGATATTTTCAGTATTCCGTGATCCTACCCGAGTCAAGTCAACCCATTCATACAACCGTAACATGCATTTATGTAATATATAATATCAATCTACCAGATCCTCCAAAGAACTCAACATATCTGTAAGCTTGTGACCACCCTCGTTTACACTAATTTGCTTATGATTTGTCTTTTGGATTGTTTTTATTTGTATTTCTTCCAACAACAATATACCATCAAGCAATAAAGGGAGACTTGTTATTGGCCATACATTTAGTTTGTTACATTAATGTTAAATATTTTCTGTATACGCTGTTGGTTTTCGAAGTAAATAAATAAATAAATACATATAGCTGTAATGTGGCTCCACCACAGAGTACTATTAGGTAGTAAAATTTTGATTCAGGGGGTAATAATAAATAATAAAATGTTCCTCCTTGCAACCCGAAGGAACTTTCTGTCCACTTTCCACCAACTCACCTGGATTCACGCTGATATTGTTGCGTGGTGGATACTGAATTAGACTGCTCGGATTCAGTGTCTGCTGTATCATCCAGGCTGCCCTCCAGCAAAGGAATGATAATGTCATCAATCTGAAACCAAAGACGGCCAGTATAAATTTTTTATTTACTGTAGACTCTTTTGTATTATACATAAATAATATGCACCTAGTACTATTTATACAAATGTGTGATTATTTAGTATCAATCTTTTACTGTTCATTTTATATAGTGCTGTTTTATGGCACTATCGATTTTGGGTCGACAGCATAATACTGCCACAGTTTAACAGTTGGCAAACGTACTCGTAATTGATAGAATCAGGCGTTACTTTGCGGAAATCCATTATAAAAATATCAATTAATTTGCAACCTTCCGCTAACTAAATACAATGATGTGTCTTACCTAGATTGAGGAGCACCTCCCGCCCTCCCTCAATTGCGTGCACTAATCCCGTCACCACTAGTCCCAGCACCATTACTCCCAACACCACTACTTATGGAGGGCGGGTGCTCCTCAATCTAGGTAAGACATCTCTTTGTATTTATTTAGCGGAAGGTTGCAAATTAATTGATATTTTTATTAGTTGGGAAAGGAATGTACTTATGCAGAGCAGCGGGGACTTGCGGGCGGCGCGACCTTGTGCCAGCGCACTGCACTGAGTCCGCTGGACAATACATGGGGTTGACGCGAGCGTATTTTAAAGTACTTATTTTTATTATTTTATTATTATGATTTTAAGTGTCGTTTTCGAAAAATATTATATCTATAATGCTATAGTTATATGAGTAAATACATAAAATTGAATTCAAATGACGGCCATGATTATGTTTTATTTAACTTTTTTTTGATAAAATTGTTTATCCGATTTCGAATACTCTACATAATTAAATTTAACAATCTATAACTGAAAACATCTATAAAAAAACATGCGTCACAAAAATATTTGGCAGTGCAAAACTTGCAAATGTGTTTTTTTTATCTAGTAATAAAAAATGACCTTGTTCAATTAATGTTTTTAACTTATAAGTATGTACATAATGTTAATAAATAATAAGTACTATAATATAAAACAAATTTAATACCGATTTCGTGACAACTATCGTATTTGCGATGACGGCATGAATAGTAAATACCTTCGCTGGCGGAGGCATCGCCTGACATCAAAGGCGTTTCACAACTAATAGGCCATTAAACTGTAAATGATGGGCAGAGAATCAATTTTTCTGGTAACGAGTAATGATTTTTTACTGAAGTTTATAGGGTTGGCCACAGGTCCTTCACTGCTGACCGCATGAGGACGCTCATGGTCGCTCATCGAGCTACGGAGAGGGCTATGTTCGGGGTTTTTCAGCGTAATAAACTTAGAAATGGGGATATCCGCAGTAGAACCAGTGACCGACATAGTCTAACGGATTAGTAAGCTGAAGTGGCAATGGGTCGGCCATATACTCGAAGAACCGACAACCGATGGGAAAAAAAGGTTCTCGTGTGGCAGCCTGGTACCGGTAGGCAAAGTGTAGGGCGACCCCCCACTATATGGAGTGAAGACCTGGTAAGACATGCAGGGAGTCGATGGATGCAGGTGGCTCAGGACAATGGTTTGTGGCATGCCTTGGGGCAGGCCTATGTTCAGCAGTGAACTTGTGAAGGGCTATAATGATGATGATGATGATAAAGTTTACAGAAATCAGCAAACCTGTTTAGATCTTCTTGCAGTAGCTGAACATCGCAAGGGTTATTTATAGTTTTAAGAATTTTCATTTCATCGGTGTAAAGTAATATAAAAGAACTTGCAAAATATGACTTGAAATCGGAAATAAAAATGCCGAATAATAAGGGGTCAAGCAATTAACCCTGAGGAGTTTCAGACGGGATTGAATACCAAAAAGACATGTAACCGCGCAAAATCAAAGCCTGTTTCCGATTTTTAAAATACGAACAAAACCATCTATAAAAGTCATCTAGATGGAGTGACGACACTGCAACATGCAGGTGGTGTATATATATAACATGTAACATAATTAACGCACTTTGAGAAAGTAGTTTATTCAGAATCGTTTACTGAATCGATTCCTATCATTTTTAATATAGGTAATTTTTTATCCCAAAAATAATTAAAACTACGTAAATTACAGTCACACTAAATCTATACAATCAAAACAAACTGAAATGAACCGTAACTTAAGGCAATAAGACTTTTAAGAGTGCAGTTTTATTTGTGTTATTACTAATTCTGTCATTCAATAAAAATAAAGAAAATTGAACTTTATTTCAAGCACGTTAAAGTCTTTGCGTTCGTGGATTTGTATTGTGACCGCAATATTCTTCCGGAATTAGTATAACTAATTTGATAAATAATCAGTGCATAAAAATGTTTAACTAAAAATTCAGTGTATGCATTATGATTATAACATAATATACTAATTGGGGTGTCTGAGGGTGTGCGTTAATTACGTTACATATTATATATATATATATATATATATGATTTTTTCCGCTTGGAAAAAAATAGGGTGTAACAGGTGAACGGAAGAGAGAAAGCCTATGGCATCGATATTTTACAAAAAATTAAAAACAAAACTTATGAATAAAATAAATAAATAAATTAAAATTTATCGAAATTCAAATCATATCCACCCTACTTTATAAACAGTAATAAAACAATACATTTAGTGTGCATCTTTGACCTTAACACTTCGTAGGGTCATAGGCTCAAGGGCAAAACCGCCCGCGCTCTCAACTCATAAGTTACCTTTCATACGCTGTGGCGTGACGTTGCGTCGCCGTCGTATTGTTTATGTTTCCGCGTGTATCGTAACCATGTATCAATACTCTTACGTCGAGTATCTAACAATGACGAGCCAATTCAGTGATAGGTGGATAGGTCGTGGTTAACCTCAGAACTGGCCGGCGAGATCACCAGACCAAACACCTCTAGACCTTTATTTTTGGGCCGAACTAAAACGATTAGTGTACACAAAAGAAGCACAGTGTTAGTGATTTAAAGCAGAGTATAATAAGCGGATTTAATGTAATAAAAGTGATAGACACACGCTTCGAAGTTTAACAAACAAATTAAAAAGACTTGATAGTTTGTGTTTAGAAGGAAACGGTAGATATTTTGAACAATTACTGCGACATCGCTAAAAGGTAATTTTATTTGTAAATAACCATAATGTAGTATGATTTTGTATATATCAAACAGTGTAGTTTGTAAATAAGTTGATTTCGATCTTTTAAGTACGTCAAAACGTTGCAGTATAAGGTAGGCATAAAATGATTATGTGAAATTGAATTGTTTATCCAACATTTTATACATATTAGTGTCCAACAACCAACGGCTTTACGTGCTTTCCGGCACGGGGGTGAAACGCCACCAACTTTCTGACTCCGAGCAGCTACTGAGAATTTCTTGACAGAAAAACTCAATAAATTGTTATTTGACATGACCAGGGGTCCGTACCCAGGACCTCATGATCAACTGTCACACTACTACAAGCACTAGAACAACGAGGCAGTCAAAATAAAAAATAAATATCAAAAGTGCCTCAATACATATAAGAGAAAAATAATTTTAGGTAACGTAAGGCTCCTGTGAATTGATTCTAAAAATGTTGGCTGCAACAATGTGTCGGCCGCTGAACTCGGTCGCCTGGCGCCTATATAACGAAGCGATCATTTTTTTTATTCATAAGCTATCTTAGCCTATTTTTAGTTTTACGCAAATGCCGTAGGATGAATTGTTTTTATGTATTTTTTGGATATTCCGAAATTTTGCCTAAGCTAGTTATATTTTGCAAATACTTTCGAGGATTACTTCTATTCCACCATATTATTTTCCAGAAGGTAAAAATAGTCACCCAGTACATTGGAGTATAAACTACATCGTTGATATTGTGCTCAAGCGATGCTTGCACAGGAATATAAAAATAATTTAAATACGTCGAGTGTTAGATTTCGGTTTTCTAACCTTACACTGCCGCAGGATATTGTGTCGATCGCTGCGTTTGCTCTCGATGCGGGCTTCCAGGCTCGCGATCTGTTTTTGTACCGTTTGGATTTCTTTCTGAATGTTGGCTACTTCTTTACGTGCCTGTGAATAGGAAATAAAATATGATTAGTTCTATGGTTCGATTATAATTTTATATGTTAAGCTAACTCACATGTGGTGCACCTTGCTGTCTTACGAATGAAGCCCTAATGATTGACTAAATGAAATAAGCCTTATTCAAATACTGGAATGCGGAATAGTATTATTAAGTCGAGCAGATTTAATTTGCGATCCGTAATCCCACAGTCATGGTAGGTTAGTAAAGGTAGTTTAGTGTGGTCGGTCTAAGCGCGTAGATGTTTGGTTTCTGTCACCCAGGTTTGGTTCATCACCAGCCTAGTCGAAGGTAGCCCGCGTAGCCCTGATTATTTCCCAACAACAGATGCTGGGTGCGCGCGCACCGCTCGACCCTCGCGGCCACAGACCACCCCTAACCACCGCCGCGTCGTCCTTCGTGCGCTGGGGGCACTGCTTAATGCGCGCGCAACGCTTGACCCCTCGTGGCCCCAGATCCCCCCCCTCACCACCACCGCGTCGTCCTTCGTGCGCTGGGGGCGCTGCTTAATGCGCACGCACCGCTCGATCCCCCGTAGCCCCAGACCCCCCCCCACTCACCACCGCCGCGTCGTCATTAGTGCGCTGGGGGCGCTGCTTAATGCGCACGCACCGCTCGACCCCCGTAGCCTCAGACCGCCCACTCACCACCGCCGCGTCGTCCTTCGTGCGCTGGGGGCGCTGCTTAATGCGCACGCAACGCTTGATCCCTCGTAGCCCCAGACCCCCCCCACTCACCACCGCCGCGTCGTCCTTCGTGCGCTGGGGGCGCTGCTTAATGCGCACGCACCGCTCGATCCCCCGTAGCCTCAGACCCCCCACTCACCACCGCCGAGTCGTCATTAGTGCGCTGGGGGCGCTGCTTAATGCGCGCGCACCGCTTGACCCCTCGTAGCCTCAGACCCACCACTCACCACCGCCGCGTCGTCCTTCGTGCGCTGGGGGCGCTGCTTAATGCGCACGCACCGCTCGACCCCTCCGTAGCCTCAGACCCCCCTCTCACCACCGCCGCGTCGTCCTTCGTGCGCTGGGGGCGCTGCTTAATGCGCGCGCACCGCTCGACCCCCCGTGGCCCCAGACTCCCCACTCACCACCGCCGCGTCGTCCTTCGTGCGCTGGGGGCGCTGCTTAATGCGCACGCAACGCTCGATCCCCCGTAGGCCCCAGACCCCCCCCCCTCACCACCGCCGCGTCGTCATTCGTGCGCTGGGGGCGCTGCTTAATGCGCACGCACCGCTCGACCCCCGTAGCCTCAGATCCCCCACTCACCACCGCCGCGTCGTCCTTCGTGCGCTGGGGGCACTGCTTAATGCGCACGCAACGCTTGACCCCTCGTGGCCCCAGATCCCCCCCCCGCCTCACCACTGCCGCGTCGTCCTTCGTGCGCTGGGGGCGCTGCTTAATGCGCGCGCACCGCTCGACCCCCGTAGCCCCAGACCGCCCACTCACCACCGCCGCGTCGTCCTTCGTGCGCTGGGGGCGCTGCTTAATGCGCGCGTACCGCTCGACCCCCCGTAGCCCCGGACCCCCACTCACCACCGCCGCGTCGTCCTTCGTGCACTGGGGGCGCTGCTTAATGCGCGCGCACCGCTCGACCGCCCGTAGCCCCAGACCGCCCACTCACCACCGCCGCGTCGTCCTTCGTGCGCTGGGGGCACTGCTTAATGCGCGCGCAAGGCTTGCCCCTCGTGGCCCCAGATCCACCTCCTCACCACCGCCGCGTCGTCCTTCGTGCGCTGGGGGCGCTGCTTAATGCGCGCGCACCGCTCGATCCCCCGTAGCCCCAGACCCCCCCCCCCCACTCACCACCGCCGAGTCGTCATTAGTGCGCTGGGGGCGCTGCTTAATGCGCACGCACCGCTCGACCCCCCGTAGCCTCAGACCCACCACTCACCACCGCCGCGTCGTCCTTCGTGCGCTGGGGTCGCTGCTTAATGCGCGCGCACCGCTTGACCCCTCGTGGCCGCAGACCCCCCACTCACCTCCGCCGCGTCGTCCTTCGTGCGCTGGGGGGCGCTGCTTAATGCACACGCACCGCTCGACCCCCCGTAGCCTCAGACCGCCCACTCACCACCGCCGCGTCGTCCTTCGTGCGCTGGGGGCACTGCTTAATGCGCACGCAACGCTTGACCCCTCGTGGCCCCAGATCCCCCCCCCCTCACCACTGCCGCGTCGTCCTTCGTGCGCTGGGGGCGCTGCTTAATGCGCGCGCACCGCTCGACCCCCCGTAGCCTCAGACCCCCCTTTCACCACCGCTGCGTCGTCCTTCGTGCGCTGGGGGCGCTGCTTAATGCGCGCGCACCGCTCAACCCCCCGTGGCCCCAGACTCCCCACTCACCGCCGCCGCGTCGTCCTCCGCGCGCTGGTGGCGCTGCTTGGTCTCCGAGCGAGCAGCCTTCAGGGCCTCCACCCGGCGTAGCTCGCGATCCACCTCGGCGCGCTGCTTGGCCTCGGCCTGGCGGCCCGCCTCCAGCTCGTCCTCCGCATCTTGCACCGTGCGCTCCCACCGCGTTACGTTCTCTGCGCACCAACACCACAACCGTCCACAATCACACAAATGAAGACACAGTAAATATAGCCATACCATTTTTTAAGATAATTACCTACACTACCACAGTTTAAAGTTGTGAAACGCCTTTGATGTCAAGCGATGCCGCCGACCGTGTTGGTAAGTACACGGGCGGCATGTATGCAATGTCACGAAATTGGGAATGAAATAATTTTTGCTATTATAATACTCATTATCATTCATTAACATTATGTGCATACTTATAAAGTCAAAAACATTTGTTGAACAAGATAATAAACATATATTACAACAAGAAAAACACATATACAAGTGCAAATATTTTCTGACACCTTCTTTTTTTAGATGTTTTCAGTTTTTGATCGTTATATTTAATAATGCCGTAGTGTATTCGTATTCAGATAAACAATTTTATCAAAAAAATGAAAGAAACATAAGTATAACTGTAATTTGAATTAAACTTTACTTAGTAATTCACCATTATTGATATTATATTTTTCAAAAACAGTACTTAAAATTAGTATTATAAAACACGGTTGCGTCTACCGCATGTATTTATTGTCCAGCATACTCAGTACTCACGCACAACGCCGCGTCGCCCCGCAAGGTACATTAGGTACAAGGTACATACCGTTGCTCTGCACTGGTACATTCGTTTCCCAACTGTTATGGACGCAACATATGGTCAGTTTAACTGATCATTCCAACTGATCAGTTCAAACTAAAAGTGTTATTTTTGAAAATATAGAATTTTCGATATATCGATAATTATAAACGTGTCAATATCGGAGTTTTATATAAAGGTTTATTTATCGATATATCGAAAATAGCAACAGTTATAGTTTGAACTGATCAGTTGGAATGATCAGTTGAACTAACCGTGTGTGGCGACCATTAGACTCTCTATAAACTGTGTCAGTGTATTACAGCTCTAGGTATGTCACTCTTAATTATCAGAAAAATATTATTTAGAGTCCACGATATTCAAAATTTCAAATTAAATTAACTAAAAATTGGTCTAAACGACAATAAATTAATGTAATATTAAAGTTTATTAAACGCCACTAAAGAATGAAGTCACCGGCATTTTGAAAACTCTTGTTTGTGAATCGATTATTAAAATTAATATCTGTGTCATCAAACATAAATCTGTTGTAAATTTTTGGAAAATGAATGTCATTAAAATTATATGTTTCTGGACCGATTGCTTTAAAAAAAAATTTAATAAAGGAGACGATCTATTTCTGGTCCAGTCTTATATACACTATACCGTAAAAAGCGAAAAATTCAGGGATTTTATTAAAAATAAAATAAGATAATAAATCAAACTAAATGACTTGCTGAAAATAAAAATGCAATCCTAATTTTATTTTTGTATATTTGGAACACCAACAGCATATAAACGTTACATGAATACAAATTGGACATTTCGACAAAGACATTTACAGGTATTCGCATATGGTTATTTAAATGTAAAGAGGCCATGACAACAGTAACAGTAAACAAAGTAAATCCCCAAAGATGAGGAGTGTTTTTAAAATTTAAGAGTATTTAAGAATTTGTTGCACCCTTGGCGCGGGGGCCAAAGAACTCCAACGCAAACGATCTACTTACATTATGAGGCTTGGTACGGAATAGTTCTAATTCGCCGTTATTTGACAGTTTGTTAAAAAAGTTACTCGCACGAATAATAAATGAATTGCGGCGGTAGTTAGTATTGACTCTAGGAATAGCTAGTGGCTGAGTACGTCTAGTTGGTAATCTGCGCGGAACCCAGATGCTTACCTTTTCCAGCAAAGCAGGGCAATCAATGATGCCTCCGACAATTTTTAATAGATACGTAATATCGAAGAGTTGCCGTCTTTTTTCCAAAGGAAAGAAGTGGTATCTATTGCATCTCGTTTCATAACCATGGTCCAATTGCTTACACTTGTATTGTAGATATCTCAAGAACCTTTTTTGTATGGACTCAGTACGGGAAGTATACACGTTATATTGTGGATTCCAAACCACAGAGGCATACTCAAGGATATTGCGCACATAAGCACAATAAAGTACTTTAATCGGTTTAATAGATTTGGAGGCCTTTTTCACTATGTAATCAATGTGCTTATGAAATAAGAGTTTAGAATCTTGAATGAGACCCAGGTCTTTCATAGATGTAACTTTGTTAAGTGACTTATTATTGATTTTATACTGATAATTTATAGGGTTAAATTTACGAGAAAAGGTCATAGCAAAACACTTGGAAACATTCAAATCAAGCTTATTTTGAGTACAGTATTGCACAAAATTATTCAGATCTGACTGAAGACGATCACAGTCCCCAGAGCTGTTAATGGCCATAAAGATCTTAGTGGCGTCTGCGTATAATAAGACTCTGGCATGTCTGAAACATAACGCAATGTCGTTAATGAATATAACAAAAAGCAAAGGCCCTAATAAAGAGCCTTGAGGTACGCCAGAAGGAACTGTTATCCAGTTGATGATTTTACAAGATGGCACCCTTCCAGTTATAAAATTATATCTCAAACGTCATGTCTGAAAAGTGACTTGAATCATGAAATAATATAGGTAGTGTGATATTTATTTTTTCGATCTTGTTCGTGCAGTTGTGAACTCGTCAATGCGTTTATAGTGTTTCTTTTGGATTTTTTGTCGATTTTTTTTATTTGAACTTTGGATCTGTTATTGCTTGTTTGACTCGGCTTTTGTTTTACGGACTGCATGATTTACACGAGACTTTGATTTCATAGATATCGGACATCTGTAGAATCACATTTTGAATCACTAGGCATCAATAACCTCATGACAGTTGACATCTAACGTCAAACGACATCAATTTGCCATTAGTGTTGCAGTTTTTGGTAAAATAAAATATTAATACCACTGAAATAAAGGCAAACTCGTGTATTTGAATGACAAATGATGAAATACAAAACCAGGCCTACGCTTCATACAAATTTTGACCGTCTCCTTTATGAATACTTTCAACTTTAAGTAAATTAAGAGTGACACAACCCTAATGCTCCAATGGAGTGTAGGTATTTACATATCTCAAAAAAGGGGCTAGTAGCTAGAGGTACTGCTTTTACTAATTTATTCTCAATTCACATTTGAACTTTAAGATAAATCCTGTCTAGAGCATGAAAGGTCCAAGTGCAGCGGTGAATTTTTATATAGAGCTGAGGAAGAGCGGAAGTAGAAAAATGTGGTTACTCTGCGTGTCCCGCGAGCGCTCGAACTCGAGGTTGGAGGCGATGCGGTCGATCTGCGCGTCGAACTCCATGCGCCGCTTGGCGCGCTCCTGCTGCGCGCGCAGCTCGCGCTCCTCGTACTGCCTGCGCCACACGTCACATCAACCTCACCCGCTCAAACTTATAACCACAGGCAACAGCCTGATACAGCCTAGCCTTATGTCTGTTTCTAAGCAAGAAATGACACGAGCAGGAGACACAATTACGAACTCCGTTACACCGTTACAGCTTATTAATGTCCACCGCTGAACATAACGCTCCCCTATACATTGCATTATAAAAGGGATATTTGTCACTATATAGATTGACTGCCTCGTTGGTCTAGTGGTTATAGTAGTGCGACTGCTGATCATGAGTTCGAATCCCGGGTCGGGCCAAAAAATTAATTATTGAGTTTTTCCGTCAAGAAATTCTCAGTAGTTGCCCGGAGTCAGGAAATTAGCGGTGTCTCACCTCCATGCCTCAGAATGCACGTAAAGGCGTTGGTCCTGCGCCTGATCTCTCTCCGGTCGTCTCGGTTTACTGTCCCATCGGATTACGAGAGTGAGGGAATAGAGAGTGCACCTGTGCTTGCGCATACACTTGCGCACTATAATCCTGTCCTGCGCCGATGGCTAGCCTCCGTTGAGGCAGGCCGCCGTGGACGAAATTCGGTCTGGAGGACATCATTATTAATTATTATTTGTCATAGATGACACGCTTGGCAACCACAGTTTTTTATTTTTCGTCGTTGTTAGGAAGATACTGCTGTCCATCCCTTGATTTGTTTTCCTCTGTTGGCTCATACGACCCCATATATGATATGAGGTTGTGGATATTCTTACATTATTTGACACCTCACACCACCTAACATTTTTAAATATAAACAAAAACATGTTATGATCTATTAATTAAGGCAGGCAGGTAAAGATTTAACCATACTACATACATCTAGTCTTGCGTGTATGTTTTCAAATAAGAAAGAAACCGAGCAGTTATGGCAATTACGAACTCGCCTAAACATATTTAGTTACTACAATAATGTTTGACTTAAAAAGTTTATATCACTACGTTTTGGTGTGAATAAAAAACTTTGTTGTTACGATCCACTAATTAAAACAGGCAAAGGTTTTAGACCATACAGCCTAGTCGGACTATGTTTCCAAAATTCATCGCAATATGCTGATTTACACACATTACGAAGCTTTAACGACATTTTGACAATAGCGGACTATTAATGACGATAATATTTTAAGATGCCTAAGCGGATAAGACCGAGGATTTATATCACAATTAAATAACTTGTTAAAGTCAGACGGAGCCATTCACAGGCACTTGGATAATGATACTTATGTGTAAATCATTTAATGAATTCTACCTACAGTGTTAATTCTTTTTTGCATTCATAAAAATCAAATAAAAAATGTTAGTAATATTATGTATTAAGTACATACCTGTATATAAATATATTTAGTGATATGTATTGCAAATTACCACAAATTAAACAAACTGTTAAGTATTATTAGTTATGATTATAGGTAGAAAAAAATAATAAGTGTAAGAGATGAGGATAGAAAATAAAGAAATAAAAAGAAACTGAGGGTACAACTATAATCTCTCCATAGTGATGATTTTCTTTTGATTATATCTCATATTAACTTCAAACTACCTTTTTATAGAAGAAGGGGCAAACGAACAACCTGATAGTGACAACCGCCGCGTATGAACAACTATAACACAAGGAGGATTGCAGGTGCATTGCCTACCTTTTAGAAAGGAGTAAGCCCTTTTCTTTAAGGAGTCTAAGTTGTATCGGTCCGGAAAAGTCGTGATAAACGATTACACAGAGTTTACCGTGTTCGGTGAATGTTTTATATCGTGGACATTACCAAATAATATAAAAATCTTTAAATAATTTTGAGGGTAAATTCAAACATACCGGATATTTGCAACGCCGATGTCTCGGCAGAAGCCGCGGAAGACCACGTCTTCCACGTTGTTCATATTCTCCTTCACCTCCTGGATCTTTGCGTCGCGAGCGCGTATGGTGCGCTCGATGTCCTCTATTTGAGGCTGTTTTATAAGAAAATTAGTTATCTTAAGATCACAACCATTTAGAGAACCAATTTAGTTATTTAAAAAGCCTTTTAGTCCAATTACATATGTACACAAACGTTCAAGTTCAACACTGAATCGTTGGTCTAGTGGTTGTAAACACGATTGCTGATTGTCCCGAGTTCAAATCTCGTATCGAATCAAAATCGAAAATCTGTCAAGAAATTCTCAGTAGCAGTCCGGAGTCAGGATGTTGGCAGTGTTTCACCCCCGTGCCTCAAAAATTACGTAAAGTCGTTTATCCTGCCTCTGGTCTCCATCGCCCATCGGGCTATGGGAGATAGTTTTCTTTTTTTATAGAATAAGGGTGACAAACAAGCACACAGTCCACCTGATGGTAAGATTTCTGTGGCCCATAGATATTATTATTTATCCTCGATTAATAATTAAAATACAGCTGCGTTGTTACCCCTGAGATCTAAGATGGAATGGCTCGTTTCCAGTAAAAACGGTATCCGGTCCTCTAAACTCAACATACTAAACGCAGCAGCATTTAGCTGCCAACCAATAACATAGCTGCCGTGAGCCACAGCCACTATAATCCTGCCCTGCGCAGACGGTTAATTTTCGTTGAGACTGAGCGCTGTAGCCGAAATTCAATCTGGAGGACATTATATTATTATGTATTTAAAATAAGTGACGTAAAATGAAATAAACAATAGAAAATAATATGCAGCCCTAATGGCCCATCTGCCATTAGACTCAAGACCCTAAATCCTTTAAGTAGTAGAGTCCCCCATACAGGTACAATTGATAGAATTTACTCATAAATTCCTGTCTTACAAGCCAAGTACGATAAGATTACAAAACAATATGTATTCGATAAGAAGTATAAGATACAATTAAATGAAACTGACCAGCCAGAGGGATTAAACACAAAAGAGCTTAGAGTTTTCATAGATGGTTCTAAAACAAATGAAGGTGTAGGATCTGAAACTTTCTCTGAAGACCCTAATATCCACATATACACACCGCTGAGTACCCATAACACAGTTTTCCAGGCTGAATGTATGGATATCATCCAAGCGGCCATAGCAATAGATGCTAGGAAGGTAAAAGACTTCTCCATCAAAATACTGACCGACAGTATGACGGTACTAAAAGCTCATAGTTGTAACATAATGAACTCGGGACTAATATATGAATGCTATGAACGGTTAAATTAGGTATGTAAGCACAACAATGTGACTGTGTGGATCTAGAGGCAACGATGCAGCAGATGAACTGGCCAGAAGGGGATCGGCTCTGGCCACTATAGGACCGGAACCAATAATACCAATCCCCTTTGGCTATGTTCGTTCACTGGTATGTAGATACTTCAATAATTTACACGCACAGCTTTGGAAAAATTTAGTCTAACCAAGGTTCTAATGAGACTGAACAAGCCACAGATCAGGATTGTAACAAGTGCTATCACAGAACATGGCTCTTTTAACAAACATTTGTTTACCACAGGTGTTACTGATAGCCCCCTGTGCAGGGCATGCATTGGGGAAGAAAGAAACGGCGGCTCACGTATTGCTGACATGTCCAGAGCTGTCGCTTCATACAGGGCTAAGAATCTCGGCACGCCGGGATCGCTCCCCGAAGTTGCTTGCAACATCAAAGGACTGTTGAACTTCTTCGGGGAGATTTCATGGCTCGAATAATCATATTGTTCCTGCCCACACGCAAAATACGCACTTAGACGTGGAGTTGCGGAAAACAGCCCGTCGTAAACTAAATTAAACTAAACCAATATGCAGCACTTACTCCAAACATTTCCATTTTCCTCTCCAGTTCTGCTAACTCTGCATCCAAGGCTTTGATTTGTTTTAACTGTAATGAAAAATGCATATCATCGTTCTTATAGTTTTTGACTCTTCGAGCCGGGTGATCGATGAACGTTGGGTTCCAAACAATAAGTAATACGATACAAAAACCTAAGCAGACAATGGTTTTTGGACCCACAAGAAATTTTAACGTAACTTAATGGTATTGCACATGAAAAATAATATATACCAGATACCAATTTGTTATAGTAAAACGAAAGCGTAAAAAGTAAGCGAAACATCGGGAAAGTTAAAGTAGGTAGTTAATTAAACGCGATAAAATCTGTAACTATAGTTTTATTCAATAGAAAAACACTCCAAAATTTTTTTTAAATCTAACCGGAATCAAGAAATCTAAAAAAATATTTGTTTTGATATTCATGTTCTGGCTAGTCTAATATGAAAAAAAATACATGTAACTAAGCATTTTTTGCGGTTTGTGTAATAAAAAAGAAAATATTTTTTTAAAACAATAACTTAATATATACATATATTATATATTTGTATATTAAATACTTCATACTAAAAATAGATACCACTGAAAACTTGTTTTTAATCCATTTCTAAAAGTATATAATATTAGCAGGGATGGTAGATATGATAAGGATATAGAACGACGAGTGAATGCAGGAAATAAGAGTGAATGGAGCTCTACGCTCTATTATGAAGAATCAGAATGTGTCAAAAAGGCAGGTATGGTAATTCATAATGCTGTGTTAATCCCTACTTTAATGTATGGTAGTGAAAGTTGGGTGTGGCAGAAGAAGCATTTAAGTGGAATAAATGCTGTAGAAATGCGGTCTTTAAGGAGTATGCTAGGGTTGAATCTGAATGAAAGGGTGAGAAGTTGTGTAATAAGAGAAAAATGTCGTATGCAAGATGATGTTGTGAACAGGATTAAGAAAGGAATGCTTCGGTGGTTTGGTCACGTAGAAAGAATGAATGAGGAAAGAGTGACAAAGCAAATTTATATGGCAGGTGTGAACAGCAGAGTCGGGAAGGGACGACCTAGACGAAAGTTTATCGATAAAATTGGCGATATTTTGAAAATGGGCCACATTAGAAGTACCCATAACCGACGAGCGTGTATGCGTAGATATATGGATGTAAAGGAGGCGAGAGAGGTATGTCAGAATCGTGCCAAATGGAAGTCCGTAGCCTCTGCCTACCCCTCTGGGTAATAGGAGTGAGTGTTTATTTATATATATATATATATATATATATATATATATATATATATATATATATATATAATATTAGCTAATATCATATAATATGGTAACATATTAAATCCCTATTTTATTACTGACTTCCGGGTCCGGGTCCGGATTACTATACAGCATTGATGTTCGTCACGTTGCTGAATTTTAATAAGCACAGTCTGCAGACTTCCCGGAGCGTCGGTGTCTATAGTCTGTGTCTGCAGTCTGTGAACATGATCAAGATCGTCCCCACGTTATATTGCTGCAATTTCCCCAAAAAGTGTGTTTTGTTCATTGAATTAATATGTACTTACGTACTAGAACAGCTATTTCAAACAAAAAATATGCGCTACTCTGTGTTCGCGCGGTTTGTTTTCCTATCATAGAATAAACATAGGTAGTCCTATCATAGAATAAACATAGGTAGTCCTATCATAGAATAAACATAGGTAGAATGATCAGTAGGTAATAAAAGATTGTACTGTTAAATAGGTAAACTATATAGAGAACAATTTTTTAAATTTTGTCATTTATTTTGTATATTATATTTGCTTATTTAATATAATATTATATCACAATTACATTTTAATGATATTTTTTCTCAATATTTTAAAAGGTATCTATCTCAAATATAAAAAAAACATACTAAATGTATATTTAACAAAACTTGTTAATATTACATTTAAATTACAAATATATTTATTTAAATTAGAATAAGAGCCGTCACAAATACTGGGCACGCGAGAGTTAAAAATTGACGAATTTATTCCACTTTGAATTTGATGTGGAAAACTAAAAAGAAAATATAAGAATATTTAGCAGATTAAAATATAAAAAATTTGGCCTAATTATGATAACTCATATATGTTTCCACAAAAAAAAATGTGTATAATAATATATTCGTCCTATATTTAAGTACCCACAGAAATGTCGCATCTGAACAAATTAATTTCATAATCTATATTACGTGACACAAGATGGCGTCTTACGAATAATTTGTTATATTACTAATTTATAATACTTTTTTTTATTGATTTAGTATCTTATTAACCAATGAAAAGTAATTCCTTGGTTTTTACTGACATTTCTTGAATTATTTGTGCAATATCTAAGTACGCACGACGGCATATTTTTATCACGAGATTTTTTTTTAAATCAACACAACACGTGTCAACTCTACAAGCGCCTAGCAAGTGACTGATTAAAGTGAATGGAACATAGTAGCTGAATGCAGGGTCGCCTCTAGTACGTAGTACATATTAGCTCAATGGTTTTGTGTGTGTTTTTAAACAAATAAATAACTTAATAATGGATTATGTTTAAACAATTTCTTAAACCCTAGCCTAAACACATCTGTCCATAAAAAAGCAGATAAGCATAAAAGTTTTTTATGACAGTCTGAAAACGTGGTGGGTCCTATATTGTTTTGAGTAGTTTATATTATTATCTTACGGTGGTATCACGATCGGTGATGGCGTACTTGAGCCGCGACTCCAGACCTCGGATCTGTGAGTCCACTGTCGTCAGCTCTGACTCCTTGCGGGACTTCTTCATGGACTCTCGTAATTCTTCCGTTAGTTTTTCCTGTATAATTTTGTGAATAAATTGAATATAAAAATACATTTTACTATTTTTGTAAATATCTGGAAATAACAGTAATAACTTATTCAAAACATGTACAACAATTATAAATAATGGTAGCGAGAGCAGTTTCTGCCGACAAACTGTTTAACAGTTGCTGACTATATCCTGAATTATACCGTAATATCTTTATATATATATATATATATATATATATATATATATATATATATGTGTGTGTGTGTGTGTGTGTGTGTGTGTGTATACAGGGTGTTAGTGTAAACACCGTTATCCTTGAAACCAGTGGTTTGGTTTCACTTATAGAACGTAAATTCAATGAAAAATAATATTTTTTTTTAGTAAAATCTATATTTTTCCTTAATTCCTCAATTTTCGCCTGTCCTAAGTAATGTTGTTTAGTATATATGCGCTATCTCTGCATAACACATAGCGCGTGTTAATCGCTATTAAGTATTAATATCTAGCGGCAACTAGTTCTAGCAGCAGCGCTGTTGGGAGTAGACGTGTGACGCAAAGATCTAGCGATGAATAGCGCGCTACCTAATTTAGTGTTAGACGTTGTTTAGTTAGTGTATATTGTATATTTATAAATGATCAAAGGACACAATTGTCTGCTATAAAAGAAGCCTAACTAATGTTTTTAAATGTTAATAAAATATAGATACAAAAGTGTATATAATAGTGTATGTAAATCGTTGATTTTTATAAATACAATCAATAAATGTTTAAATACACCTTTATTTGATTTGTAATTTATATTAAGGTTAAAATAACGTTTACATCAATTATAATAAAAAATAATTAACTTTATTTCGTTTTAAAAAGTACATGCCTTAATAATATTTTTAGGATTACATACGGAAGCCTGAAAAGTATGAAAAAGCGTTCATTGGTTTTTCTTTACCGCTTTATCTTATTATAGTCTAAAATGCGACTTATTACAAAAAAGTTCTTATATTATATAGCACGCGGTCTATCCAATTAACGACATGTAATATACATAATAAAAATAATATTTCACAACTATCACACAACGCCATCTAGTCCCAAGCTAAGCAGAGCTTGTGTTATGGGTACTAGACAACTCATAAACAATTAATAGAATCAGGCGTTACTTTGCGGAAATCCATTATAATAAAAAATAAAAATATAAATTTCCTCGCAACCTTCCGCTAAACAAATACAATGATGTGTCTTACCTGGATTGAAGAGCACCTCCCGCCCTCCCTCAATTGCATCTGACCTCTAGTAGCGGTCAGCCGCTGTAGTGTCTACATTACCTGAAGATGCCTCGTGTAGAGGCGAAACACGTGTCGTATTATCGTCGATGGTGTGTCTTTCCTGGAATAGTGGTGCTGGGTGTAGTAGTGCTGGGACTAATGGTGACCGAGTTAGTGCATGCAATTGAGGGAGGGCGGGAGGTGCTCTTCAATCCAGGTAAGACACATCATTGTATTTGTTTAGCGGAAGGTTGCGAGAAAAGTTATATTTTTATTTTTTATTAACTGATAAACATACTTATATATTTCTAAATACATAAATATTATAGATAAATTACACCCAGACACATAACAAATGATCGTGCTCATCACACAAACATTTGTCCTGGGTGGGAATCGAACCCACGACCTCCGGCATAGCAGTCAGGGTCACTAACCACTAGACCAACAGGCCTGTCAACATGCTACGAGATATAGCGTGCTGCAAAACTTAAGGCGCTTGCCGGCCTCCTAAACGCTTTCTTATAAATAGCGCGCTATAACATAGCGTATTTTATAGCACGCTGGAAATTTATAGTTTATAGTCTGTAGCGTGCTATTGATTTATAGTCGTTTTGAACAACTTTAGTCCTAAGCCAGGATGAAAGTATAAAGGAAAAGTTACGTCACAGGTTATGTGTACCTATTGTGTACGAGGGTGGATTGAAAAGTACTCGGCCTAACACAGATCCGTTCAATTCTAAAAATCAAATCTACCCACATTATTTAGTTCAGTTCAGACTAGTTCATTGTGTGAAGTTCGAAACGTGTGCGATAATTAGTTGTGATTTTATAAATTTATTAACAAAGTAATCGGACATAATTTCCGCGAATGGAGCAAATCGAGCAGCGTGCCGTCATTAAGTACCTCCATAAGAAGGGGCTATCATCAAAAGCCATCCATGATGACATGGTCAGTACATTAGGCGATTGTGCTCTGTCATATTCATCCGTCAAAAAATGGATAGCAGAATTTAAGCGTGGTAGAGAGAGTGTGAAAGATGAACCCCGCTCTGGAAGGCCTTCGACGTCAACTACTGACGAAAATATTAAAAAAGTACTTGATTTAATAATGGGAGACCGCAGATTAAAAATTAGAGAGATAGCCGAGATTATAGGCATCTCTTATGAACGAACTCAAAACATCATTGTCAAGTGTTGGGTTTCCACAAGGTGTCTGCGAGGTGGGTTCCGCGACTGCTTTCAGTTGAACAAAAAAGGACGCCATTGACTATTTCACGCGACTGTTTGGAGTTATTTGAAGCCGATGCAGATGATTTTTTGAATCGTTTTGTTACTATGGACGAAACATGGGTTCATTACTGTACACCGGAAACAAAACAACAATCAAAACAGTGGAGAAGACCTGGTTCACCACCCCTAAAAAGGCTAAGTCGATTTTGTCGGCAAATAAGGTGATGGCTTCAGTATTCTGGGACTCGAAAGGTGTGATTATGATTGATTATCTTGAAAGGGGTCAAACTATAAACTCTGATTACTACTGCACCTTACTACGTCGTTTACGAGAGGAAATAAAAGAAAAACGTCGAGGAATGCTCAGAAGAAAAGTCCTGTTTCATCAAGATAACGCCCGTGTTCACACGTCAGTACAGTCAATGGCTGAAATTCACAACTGTGGCTTTGAACTGTTACCGCATCCGCCGTATTCACCTGATCTGGCACCATCAGACTTCTTTCTGTTCCCTAACCTAAAAAAGCACTTGGGAGGTCAAAGATTTTCGACAAACGACGAGGTCAAAGCAGCTGTAGACGCATATTTTGACTCTAAGGAAGAATCATTTTTTTTCAACGGTCTAAATGCTTGGAAGGGGAGGTGGCAAAAGTGTATTGAACTTGATGGTGATTATGTAGAAAAATAAAAATATAACTGATTTAGTATGTGTTTATTTTCTTGGTTAGGCCGAGTACTTTTCAATCCACCCTCGTATTTATTGGAACGTTGTGTAGGTAGGTAGCTAGCGCGGGCGGTGATCTTTACATTGATTACGTCACTCGGGCGCACAGGGTATCCATGAATTTACGGACGGTGTAGGACAGAAAGTTTTTAAATTTTATGAAAGAAAATAGTTTTATTTTTTTAAAATTCGGATAAATATTTTTATATTAAAACCTATGGTTTTAGTGACAACGGTGTTTACACTTACACTTTGTATATATATGTATATATATATATATATATATATATATATATATATATATATATATATATATATATATATATATTCCGACTTTATAGTAGTAACTACACTGTAAAGAAATATGAGAATTCAAGCTATATCAATATGTTTGTAAAAACTTACTGTGTTGTGTTTACAAAGTGAACCACAGTACCTTTTTAGCTTTGAGCTGCGAAAGATGTTTTTCGTCCCAGCGCTTGGCTTTGCGTGCGAGGTCCAACGAGCCTCCCGAGATAATACCAGACTTCTGGTAGAACGTGCCATCCAGAGCCAACGCCTACATACAAAAATAATGTTAACAATAAACCCTATATGTGTTACAGTGCCAAAAAGAACCATATTACAATAGCTTATAAATTAAAACAGCAAGAGTCTGGTACAATGTGATATGGTGTTGTAGTATGGTAAGGAGTGGTTGAGGTATGGGGTGTTTTGATACAATTTGGTGTGATGGTGTTGTGTTATGAGACGTGGTGTGGTGTGATGTGGCGTGATACAAGGTGGTATGATGTTGTGTTAGAAGGTGTGGTGTTGTGTGATTTGAATTAGTAAGCTGAGATTTGGTGTGGCGATATAGTGTGGTGCGGTATAGTATGTTGCGGCATAGTGTGATGCGGAATAGTGTGATACGGAATAGCGTGGTGCGGTATAGTGTGGTGCGGTATGGTTTGTTGCGGTATAGTGTGGTGCGGTATAGTGTGGTGCGGTATAGTGTGGTGCGGTATAGTGTGGCGCGGTATAGTGTGGTGCGGTATAGTGTGGTGCGGTATAGTGTGGTGCGGTATAGTGTAATGCGGTATAGTGTGGTGCGGTATAGTGTGGTGCGGTATAATGTGGTGCGGTATAGTGTGGTGCGGTACAGTGTGATGCGCTATAGTGTGTTGCGCTATAGTGTTATGCGGAATAGTGTGTTGTGGTATAGTGTGATGCGCTATAGTATGATGCGGAATAGTGTGGTACGGTAATAGTGTGGTGCGCTATAGTGTGATGCGGAATAGTGCGCGGTATAGTATGGTGCGGCATAGTGTACACTCACATCGTAGCGGCTGTTCTTGTTGCGGTCGAGGTCGTAGGCGACGCGCGAGGCATCCTCTGGCGTCTCGCAGACGAGCGCGTTATTAGTGACGAACAGCACGGCGCGATGGATAGCGGGAGGCTCGAACCGCAGCACGTCGAACAACAGCTTAACGTTCTTCGGCTCCTTTATGTCTCTACGGAAAACACACAAGAATATTACCCCTCCCGCGAGCGGCGCAATCTCTAAATAACCAACTAGGCTCTGACGACTGGTGATGGAGAGCAGTATCTATCAAGGACTATGCATATAATTTATGGACAATAAATAATGGAGAGTAGTTTCCTTATTGATCCAATAAAACATATTAGTGCGCAGTAAACAAACATTTAAAAATAAAAAATGATATATTCGGAAAGAGTTATGCCGTGTGTTAGCGGCCGAAGATAACCCCAAATGGTTCCGTAAGTATGAGAGGCGACTATGTGAAATGCCAAAAGATCTCATGTCTTCTGATAGAGTATATCCATCTAATTTACGCCAGTTAGACGTAAAATATCAAGAACGGCAACAAGAAGCGTCAAAGGTGCGAGACATCTGGTGCTGCTATGGTCGATAAGTCTGCCAAATGTGGCGATGAAGACAAATTCTCCCTACAACGGAAGTGGGTCATATTCACATGAATTTGTTAGACTAATAATATATTTTTAGATATTTTGATGTAATAATATCTAAAAATAGCGTAAGTTAGCATCATCATTAGTATAATTAACTGTCTCTTATTGTAAATATATGTATGTATGTATGAGTACGAGCATGTGTGCGTAGATATATGAATGTGAAGGAGGCGAGAGAGGTGCGTCAGGATAGTGACAAATGGAAGTCTGTAGTCTCTGCCTACACCTCTGGGTGACAGGAGTGAGTATTTATGTATTATGTATGTATTATTGTACTTTTTTATTATTTATTAAAAATAAAACAAAATGATAATTTGACTACAAAAACTATAACGTATTTACACTATATTCTGCTATAACTTCTAATGTAAATGAATTGACTTCAGTTTTCGTCAAGTACTCAAAATATAACATGGGATGAGATTTAGCGGGAATTTGACCGGGGGAATGCTGCTCATGTTTTATTATTTAAATAATGGCTTGAGTGCATTTAGATACATAAGTTGTGCGATTCTGTATATTAAATTACTTATTAGTGGAAACGATGTAACAAGTGCTCCGATGGTATTGTTACGAGCTTGAGGTTCGTGACAATAAAAATTGCCGATAAAATTACCTAAATTAACGCTTTAATTTACTTTACACAAATTAAAGTTAAAAACACTAATAATTAAACACACTAATTCACTTAATTCCGCTCCGAAGCTTCGCTTGTGTCGCCGAGTTCAACACTGCCTCTCATCGCATCTTGCAGCGCCTATATATTTAAATTAGCAAAGAAATATCCAGAATGTTCAAGTAAACACGCGCAAGATACCGAGCGTTCGAGTTTCGACTAGGCGCTGTCGGTTGAGTAATTTGTGATGTCATTTTCTCAATGCTCCCCCTCGCTCTCGTTCCTGACACTAGATGGCGCTAGTTGACTTATTCATGCAACACTGCCCCCTCCTAAGACATGCTCGTCCCGAGCATTATCGGTCCCATAATAACGCGCCAAGCGATTCACATGGACGATCTTAGGAGTCCCTCTTGCGCCTTTCTGTAACGGCTCCGCAATGTCAAGGGCTGTCCTATCCCGTGGTGCACCAACATTGTACAATTTCGGTGCTCCTCTACTACGTGTCCGAGGTCCCCGCTCGGCCGCACAACTTGTACATGTACGACACCAATCCTCGACATCGTCACGATAATGGACCCAGTAAAACTGTTCTCGGACCTTCAGTAGAGTTCGTTTAACTCCCAGATGGACTCTTGAACGACCATTATGGCACAACTGTAGAACATTCGGCACTTTAGCTTTAGGGACAACCATTTGCAAACGACAGCTGTCTCTTCGACCATTGTCCCATTTACGGCACAGGACTCCATCCTGAATCAGCAAGCTGTCCCATTGGGCCCAATAGCTTTTCGTGGTTGAACTCATCGCTGAGACGTCCCTCCACTTAGGCTTGGTAGCACGGGCCTTCATCCATCCCAGAATCGGCTTGATGTCCGGATCTTCCTGCTGTGCATGTCGTAGGTTGTCCTTCCACCCGTTGCTGAGGTGGTCTGTCCTGAGCATCCTCACGGATACCACCTCCTTACTCTCTTGCCTACTACCATGGTTGCAATCTTCAGGACAAGGTCTTCTTGACAATGCATCTGCGTTGCCGTGAGATTTCCCGCTGCAGTGTCTGATAGTAAAGTCGTATTCCTGCTGCTGCTGGGCGGTGCTGTTAGCCGCACTTCCTTTCTGAGACCGTTCACCTTCCCTTCGTAGGGTGTGCTCAGGGCAGCTTGACCGAAGATGGCCCCTTTCCCCACAGCTATAGCACCTAGGGCTGTATCTTTTATTGTGGTTGCGAACCGTAACTGCTGTAACCTCCCTAGCGTGAGGTGAACGATGATCCTGTCGCAGCCATTCAGTGCCGTTAGCTGCCCTACCCTCTCGAGATCGCTCAACTCTCCTTTCCACGGTGCGTTGAGGGCAGCTGGATCGAAGATGGCCCTTTTCCCCACAGCCATAGCACCTTGCGCTGTATCCTTTGTTGCGGTCGCGAACTGTAGCTGCTGCAACCTCCCTGACGCGATGGGAACGATGATCCTGCCGCACGGCTTCCACTTCCAGTGCATGGGCCAAGGCGTCCTTAAGCGTCTCGTGGTGCCCGAGCCTCACAGCAGCTCTGACTTCCAGGTCGCGGATGCCATCGATGAATGTCTGCACCAGGTTCCCTTCAATGAGCGCAGGTACAGACCGGTATGCTTTTCGCACCAGCTTCTCCACTTCTAGAGCCCACTGCTGCAGGTTTTCGTTGATGCGCTGCACACGATCTTTAAGCTGCGCACGAAAGACGTGTTCCAGGTGAGCGTCGCCATATCTCGCCTCCAATGCCTCAAGGAGTTGCTCATAAGTCACTTCCTCACCGAGAGCTTCCAGAACTGTTAAGGCCTGGTCGCGCAGGCCTAGTGTGAGAGCAGTCATGGCCTGACTTTTATTCCAGCCGTTCGCCTTCATAACAGCCTCGAACTGGATTTTGTAGGCTGACCAGGAAGAAGTCCCGTCGAACGGTGGCACTTTGAACCCACGTAGCGAAGGTGTAGTAGCTACTACGGGAGCTGTAGTTCCCTCCCCAAGTTTGAGTTCGTCAAGTGATTTCCTCATGTCAGCCATTACGTTGTCAACCCGATTGTTCACTTGGTCAATTCGGGTTTCAGCTTCCGACAGGCGGTTTTCATGTTGAGCAACCTTATCCTTCACCTCCTTTATCTCTTTCCCGAAGGTAGCGTGAAGGTCCTTCATGAGAAGCATCTGTTCCTCCTGTCGGCGGGCCTGTTCCTCTTGTCCGCTCTGCAGCTGCTCTTTCAACTGACGGACCTGTTCCGCCTGCTGACGAACCTGTTCCGCCTGCTGATCTGCTAACCGACGGGCCTGTTCATCCTGTCTGCTCTGCAGCTGCTGCAGCATCACCATCAGAGCACCTAAGTCAGGTGCTGCAGATGTAGGAGCTACCGACGGGCCTGCAGCCGGTGGCTGGCCCTCCGACGTCTGCGGCGTTGCACCACCAAATCTTCGTTGGTCCGTCTCCTGCTGGCGTTGACTTCGGGTACGGACACCCTCCGTTTCCTCCTTAGGTAAAATCGGCATGATTTTATCCCACTTCTGACACCAATTGTTACGAGCTTGAGGTTCGTGACAATAAAAATTGCCGATAAAATTACCTAAATTAACGCTTTAATTTACTTTACACAAATTAAAGTTAAAAACACTAATAATTAAACACACTAATTCACTTAATTCCGCTCCGAAGCTTCGCTTGTGTCGCCGAGTTCAACAGTGCCTCTCATCGCATCTTGCAGCGCCTATATATTTAAATTAGCAAAGAAATATCCAGAATGTTCAAGTAAACACGCGCAAGGTACCGAGCGTTCGAGTTTCGACTAGGCGCTGTCGGTTGAGTAATTTGTGATGTCATTTTCTCAATGCTCCCCTCGCTCTCGTTCCTGACACTAGATGGCGCTAGTTGACTTATTCATGCAACAGTATTATGATCTTCAAGTTATTGTCTACTGGCTCAAGCTGCCGACAATATCTTTTTAAAACTTCACAATGTGACTCAACAATATATATTGTGAAGAAGTTTTGAAACCAAATTATCTATACATATAATAAATCTGTAGAAAAGTCTTAATAAAGGTCACTGAAGCCAAATTAGTGGTTTTTAGAAATTTTGTGTCAATATGTGTATTCACGATTCACGCAAAAGCTACTTAACAGATATCCATGAAATTTTGTTGTGGCTAGGGGCTCGAGGCAACTTATAGGCCACTTACTTACTACTTAGTTATCCGATTACGTAACTAAAAAAAGGAGGGTTAAGTATTTTCCTTCCTTTAGATGTTTATTTATATTTTATATCTATAATTGATGTATTAAAAATAAAACATCGATAAATTGTCGAAATATAAAGCCGAGAATATTAGATTAAGCCGTTGCGTAATAAATTGAACTACGCGGACATTCTTCGTTTCACTTTTTTTAAAACAGTGCCAACTAACGTAAAATATTTATTATATTTTTTGTATGCAGTTAAAAATAAATATATTATGTTTAAATAATTAAATTCATAATAAATTCTAACGTTCTAACGCAAAATAGTTATATCGGTAAAATAATTTCATTAGACACCACTAGCAGCTGATTGCGTTTTTTTTTTGACAGAAGCAGAATTTTTAATAGATTTTATATAAATTTATGCCTTATTTATGTATTATATAAATATTCGCGGCTTTGTTGTGGGACAAGCCAACCCAGACGCACCTCAACTAATTTTGGCTGAGTGCTAGAGGGTAATTTTGGTTTGCAGAGTTTTAATCTAATAATAGCGCCATCTACTTACTTCTAAATAAACTAATATTAAGTAACTGAACAAATTAAACACAAAATACTTATTGTTGCAGCATCAAAAATTGTCAGACAAAATATCCAGACCGGTGGTCACTGTCAGCATGATTTATCACAATTGTCAATTTTAGCAAAATTACTAACAAAACTGTGTTCACGAAACTATGATTAAGGTGGCCCTAGTCGATAGCTCGAACTAAATGGTGGGCGGGGTTAAAATGCATGCTATCTCAGCCGACATCATGTGCGAAAGCGAAAGGCACGATGATTTACAACAAAACGAGGGCGCGAAATTTTATAAACAGACCTTTGGGAGTCTGGATGTCATAAAAATCTATTCAATGTATCTGTTCAAAATAAAATTATTTGCACTTTTGAACACTTAATCTATCCCTGTATGGTAACTGTTTTACAATTTTCCTTCTTCTTATGGTATTTATTTTCGCCCAAAGATGTGTTAAAATTAGTACTTAAATATATTCTTTTTTTACTTTTTTGTTTACATACGGGGCTAGATAATGATGAAACAAATTGAAATCATTTTTTATTTTGAACGTACACCATCAAACAGTGGAGTAATCGCCAGACTACGTTTGTATGGAATAATGAGTGACTAGTGTACCCTTAAGAGAGGTCTTTAGTTGAATATGTTGTACGTCTATCGGCAAAGCAATATTTCACCAAATTATTTTTGTATCAAGTGAGATTTTTATCCATAATTGATGGACTAGTTCAGTATAATATTTATGCAGTTCTGAACTTGTATTAGTATTATTGATGTTTCTAAATTCACGCCATTCACACGGGCGAAGCCGCGGGTAAAAAGCTAGTAAATGAATTTCTTATTACTTGATGCTGGCAGAATACAACCGTACGAGTCCACATCACTTACACAAAAAAAATGTAAAATTTTGTTTTATTTTTATTTTTGGTACTGGTTTGAAAGTTCTTTTTCTGTAATAATATTTATAAATTCTGCCTTAAATGCCAATAACTTAATATGCATTTGTCCCCAAACTTTTGCAATGTTTGTTTAGAGTAAAGTAAATAAATAAAAAGTCACCTGAGCCTCTCGCGCAGCGGCTTGGCCTGTATGTAGTCGAGCGGCAGGAAGGTCTCGGGCTCCAGCATGCGCTCCTTCAGCACCTGGATGCAGCGACGCGCCGTCTTCTCCGTGTCCACCACGATGGCCTCCATGTACTTGCCCAGCACCTTTGTGATGGCCACGTTGTAGCGCTTGTGCGTCGGCTGGCACATGTTGATCATGCGGTCGTACTGCGGACGGAAGTGGACTATACTTAGCTAACATTACAATTGAAACACATAGCATCAAAATATTGGGGACTGTGTAGCTCGGTAGTAAAATCTATATCATAAATGTACTTACGTAGTTCTATAAAAGAATTCAATTCATACTAAATATTAAAAAAAATTCTTTATAATATTTTGTTTTTAAATTTCTTTACAATAAATTATTAAAATATTTTGTGACTTGGGGTAATGTGATAAAATCATATATAAACCACCGGGTCTAACCATCATATTATACTGATACTAGGCCTGTCTCACTCCGCGCGCGGCGCCCAGCTGCGCCGCCATCAATGCGATATCAAGCACGAGGAGGCGCGCCGCCGCAAGAAGCAGGAGATCGTCGAAAGCTTCAAGCGGGAGATACCGGGCGTGGTGAGTGAGCGCACGGCTGCAGCAGGTGACGGTGCAGCTGAGCGACGCGCGCGTCTACAAGCACGAGGAGGCGCGCCGCCGCAAGAAAGAGATCGTCGAGAGCAAGTAAGCGCACAGCTGCACCGCCACCTGCTGCAGCTGTGCGCTCACTCACCACACCCGGTATCTCCCGATTGAAGCTTTCAACGATCCCCTGCTTCTTGCGGCGGCGCGCCTCCTCGTGGTTGTCAACAGCTGCGCAGCCACCTGCTGCAGCTGTGCGCTCACTCACCACGCCCGGTATCTCCCGCTGTGAAGCTTTCGACGATCTCCTGCTTCTTGCGGCGGCGCGCCTTCTAGTGCTTGTCGACGCGCGCTTCGCCTCCAGCTGCGCAGCCACCTGCTGCAGCTGTGCGCTCACTCACCACGCCCGGTATCTCCCGCTTGAAGCTTTCAACGATCCCCTGCTTCTTGCGGCGGCGCGCCTTCTAGTGCTTGTCGACGCGCGCTTCGCCTAGCTGCGCAGCCACCTGCTGCAGCTGTGCGCTCACTCACCACGCCCGGTATCTCCCGCTTGAAGCTTTCGACGATCTCCTGCTTCTTGCGGCGGCGCGCCTTCTAGTGCTTGTCGACGCGCGCTTCGCCCAGCTGCGCAGCCACCTGCTGCAGCTGTGCGCTCACTCCACCGCGCCCGGTATCTCCCGATTGAAGCTTTCAACGATCCCCTGCTTCTTGCGGCGGTGCGCCTCCTCGTGGTTGTCGACGCGCGCGTCACGCAGCTGCGCAGCCACCTGCTGCAGCTGTGCGCTCACTCACCACGCCCGGTATCTCCCGCTTGAAGCTTTCGACGATCTCCTGCTTCTTGCGGCGGCGCGCCTTCTAGTGCTTGTCGACGCGCGCTTCGCCTAGCTGCGCAGCCACCTGCTGCAGCTGTGCGCTCACTCACCACGCCCGGTATCTCCCGCTTGAAGCTTTCGACGATCTCCTGCTTCTTGCGGCGGCGCGCCTTCTAGTGCTTGTCGACGCGCGCTTCGCCCAGCTGCGCAGCCACCTGCTGCAGCTGTGCGCTCACTCACCACGCCCGGTATCTCCCGCTTGAAGCTTTCGACGATCTCCTGCTTCTTGCGGCGGCGCGCCTTCTAGTGCTTGTCGACGCGCGCTTCGCCCAGCTGCGCAGCCACCTGCTGCAGCTGTGCGCTCACTCACCACGCCCGGTATCTCCCGCTTGAAGCTTTCGACGATCTCCTGCTTCTTGCGGCGGCGCGCCTCCTCGTGCTTGTCGACACGCGCGTCGCCCAGCTGCGCCGCCACCTCCTCCAGCTGCGCCTGCAGCTCCGCCGCACGCCCTCGACACTCGCCCACGTCTGCCTGCAAACACGCACAAACGCACACAATTATTTATAGCTAAAGCGCAGGCGGAAGAACGAGCCACAATGTTACAAAATAAGTGGTATCAGTTATGGATAAAGTAGAATAATCAATTGTCACGTTATTGTAATCCCCGCTCACAAAAGAAGACCCATACATGCGCTACCATCTGTGTTAAAATATGAAGATCCATTCGGTGATCCAGATCTATTTGTAATTTATTTGCTGAAAATTTCTATCTACTTTTCATATTCTTATCGCGTAAGTAAGTGGTATAGAACCACAAACCTACACAAAGACACTGGGCCTTATTTATATATCACATATCTTATGGAAAAAGAGGTCTTTACCTGCTATAGAGTCTAAATTATTTATCTTTGCCCAAAACTTTGGCGTGTAGTGGCGGTTGAGAACATCCACTACCGCATATCTTCCCGTGGGTGTCGTAAGAGGCGACAGATGGAGACAGGCAGGAGATAGGCAGCAGCATCTTCCTAATAACAACACTAATATAATAAAAAATCTGCGGTTGCCAACCCGCTCGCCAAGCGTGACAACTATGGCAAATATCCCCCCATGAGAAACGACGCAAACAAACGGCCCCCAGTCCCCGGCGGCCCCGCTATTCCTTGCTACGGTGGCGACCATGGTAACGGCAGGGCAGGGGGTGCTAAGAATCTCCGGTGGAGGTTCGGTTGCCACCTACGACGACTCGACCTGGCAACATATAACGGATGCACCCTGAGGACCGATGAGCAGATACTGGAGCTGGAAGAAGAGGTAGACAAGTTGCGCTGGCATATTATTAGATTATCCGAGGTCCGTAGAGAGGGGGAGGACACGGTAATCCTCGAGTCCGGCAACTTGTTCTATCACCGGGAGAGCGACCATCTGTCCCAAGGAGGTGTTGGATTTATCGTACACACGAGTCCCTCGTCAACAACGTTGTAAAGATTGGGAGTGTGTCGACGAGGGTCGCGTACCTGTTTCTCAGAATCATCAAACGGTATTCGCTGAAGGTCATACAGGTTTACGCATCAACCTGGGCATATCCCGATGAGGATGGATGAGGAGGTGGAGGAAATGTATGAGGATTTTCTAGAGCCATGCATTCCTCCAAAACTCATTATACGGTGTGATGGGAGACTTCAACGCAAAACTAGGCACAAGAGAAAGCGGTGAGCTGAAGTTAGGGAAATTCGGAATAGGGTAACGGAACCGTAAGGGCCAGCAGCTGGCCGACTTAATGGGGAAAGAGGGACTCTTTATGATGAACTCTTTCTTCCAGAAGCGGCCCCACAAGAAGTGGACCTGGTCGAGCCCCGACAGTTCGACAAAAAAATTAGATTGACTTCATTATGACGACCAGACGCCAACTGTTCAGTGACGTCTCAGTGATCGATCAGAGGGGTGAAAACTGGCAATGATCACGGAATGGTTAGAGGCACACTGAACTTAAACGTTAAGTTGGAGAGGTCTCGTCTAGTGAAGTAAACGCTCCGTCCCCCTCGTGCGCTAATCCAAGGTCCTGAAAACTTTCAGCTCGAATTATAAAATAGTTTTTAGTGCCTAGAAGACTGCAATACAGTGGACGATATGAATGACAAGCTCGTGGAAACTGTCCATGCGGTCGGAGCTAAGTTCTGCAAGACCCGCCGCAGAAGAACACAAAAACTCTCCGATCACACTCTTAATCTCATGTATGTTAGACGGGCGATGAAGCTGTAGTCGTCAGCAGATTTGACAGCATACAGGCAACTGAACAGACAGATCTCCAAATGTATGCGGCAGGACTTATGCAACTTCAATACAGCTCGTATTGAAGAAGCGATTGAGCGGAACCAAAAAATCTCCAAAGTCTGCCAGTAAGAGCCAACTGTCAAAGCTGAAGACTGAGTGTGGCAGCATTGTTTCCGGGACACCTAAGATTCTGAGTGAGATTGGGAGGTTCTATGAGCAGCTGTACACATCATCGTTGGAGCCACAATAAGTGTGAGTAACGATCCAAGAGCAAGTCTTATCCGACATTATTCCGATGATATCCCGGACGTCAGTCTGAGCGAGATTAGAATGGCTCTCCAGCACCTTAAAAACGACAAGTCCCTGGACGAGGACGGAGCGGAGCTTCTGAAAGCCGGTGGAAAACCGGTACTTGAAGTCCTTCAGAAGCTCTTTAATTCCGACCTCCATAGAGGCACTACTCCCGAGGCGTGGAGCAGAAGTGTGGTGGTCTTGTTGTTTAAGAAAGACGACAACGCTCCTTTGAAGAACTACAGACCAATTTCCCTTCTGAGCCGCATCTACGTGCTGTTTTCGAGAGTCATTACGAATCGTCTCGCACGCAGACTCGACGACTTCCAGCTTCCCGAACAAGCCAGTTTCCGAAAAGGCTTTAAGTACCATAGACCATATACATACCCTTCGGCAAATTGTACAGAAGTTCTCAGAATACAATCTGCCACTATGCCTGGCGGAGAAAGCCTTTGATTCTGTCGAAATTTGGGCGGTGCTACAGTCTCTTCAGCGGTGCCAAGTTGACTGTCGGTATATCGAAGTGCTGAAATGTTTGTACAGTAGGGCTACGATGGCTATCCGAGTACAGAACCAGAGTACGAAACCTATCCAACTGCAGAGAGGTGTAAGACAGGGTGACGTTATTTCCCCGAAAGCGAAACTCTTCACCGCTGCATTGGAAGACGTTTTCAAGCTACTGGACTGGAACAAGCAAGAATTAGATAAAATCAACCAATCAATTGACATTTTCCTTGACCTAGCAAAAGCTTTTGATACAGTTTCTATTTCCATTATTATATAAGCTAGAAAGCATTTAGCTCTGAACAAAAAAATACACATTTTGGCGTGGCTCAAGGAAGTGTATTAGGAACACCCCTATTTTTGATAAATATAAATGACCTTTGCAATCTCGAAATTAACTCAGGTAAAATAATATCTTACGCAGATGATACCGTGCTCGTTTTTTCCGCAAATACAGTAGACAATGTACAGAGCAAGGTTTTCATAGGGTTAATAAATAGCTCCAATAAAACATATTAACACTGAATGCGGACAAAAACAAATATATTCATTTTTATATGCGCAGTTCAACCCAGCTGTACGCTGTACAAAAATAAGACTATTGCTATTAATTTAAATAAAATAAAAAAAAATTGAATAACTATTAACATTTCATAGCACCTGTTGAATATTTTCAAGTTTGTTGTTGTTGTTGTTGTTGATTATTTTCAAGTTTAAAAGTATTTAAAGTGATTTCTTCTCTTTGAAGTCACGCTAACTACTTAAATCTAGTTAAATAGATCAGAGTAGGAAAAAACAATAGCTAAACTCATAAAAATACTTTATTTACGATATGTTATGTATAAAAACAAGCCTTCAATTAATGAATTAATACATCAAAATAATCAAAATACACTAAGGGATAGGATTTTATTTATTTATTTAATACAGCAACAACTTAAACATATAGCGTAACATTATAGGAAAGGGTTATTTTACTTTAGTACTTGCAACACTGAATCCGTCCGTCAAGCATCAAAAAAGTCAAAGTGTCAATGTCAGACTTGATCTGATTCACGTTTAATGACTTACGTGCCGTTTCTATGTATATTCCAGGGGAGGTACACTTCCATGTTCAATAATTTGCAAAGCTTGCTTGCTTCCAGGTTGGGGTTCAATAATTTGCAAAGACACTAGTGCCATCTTGTACCATATCCGCATAAACTTTCGAACATTAAATTCTAAAAGGTGCGCTAGATGGCGACTACACCAATGGTTATTCTCGAACTGGCAAGTAGCAACTTGACATAATGGCTACCGACGTCTGAGCAAGTTGTTGTTTTACTATAGTTTATAAGTGATTTTCGGTTGTTGTTACAATATGTTTGGTTGAGTTGGGATTAGCCCTCTGTTTCTTGTTGTCTGTTTAGATTTTCGTGCTGGAACCACATTGTATGTTTGTGTAGTGTTGTGCAAAATAGACGCTTTCATTTATCATTCCGGTAACCCGGAAAATATGTCCAATATTTAATTTGGTTTGGTGTTGTATTTTGCGGAATAGACGCTTTTACATCGTGTATGTTAAATATATATAACAAAAATAAATGTTAATATTACTGACATCTATAATACGTCTTTAATTGAACCCTAATCCCTTAAAATGTAAATATAACCGCCTATAGTATAGATAGCTGTATATACATAACTACATACAGCTATCTATAGTCAACATGATATTGAGATTAGTTCAAGGGATATGATACCAGACGGCGACACTATTCATATTGGGTGACAAAAAATCCTAGGAGATGGCTCTCTATTTCTGTATATATTACTCTACTGTATGGTATATTCTATGTATATTTGTTAACTTTGTATTTGTGTTTTATCGTATTTTACTTTTATTTAATATGTGCCGTAGCCCCACGCTAGTGCTCCACTAATTATAAACCGTGTAATACATAAGTTTAATTATTTTCTGTCTATTATACTTCGATCAATAATAGTATTAACCTTTTGAGCGCCAAAGTCGCCTATACTTGACCAGCACCTACGGGCCCTGAGCGCCCTATATCTATCTATCTATATTTATTATTATCGTCTACAGTTGAAAAAAAAACCCGGCCCACAAAAATATGAAATATTGGAAAATTATTACTGATATTTTAAATCTACACTCATCAAAAAAGAATAACCCAGCAACATGTGAGTATAAAAATGAAGTCTCCTAGAGCCACAAGTACTAAGAAACATTGAACTAAAAAAATGGATTTTTATCTAAGCAAATACTATGTCCAGCACGCCAAAGTCATCCATGTTTGACCGCTAGTGTTGTAATGCGTTAGGCATAGATTTATTGAAAACGATTCAAAATTAAACGCAAGCGTGTTATCTTTTAATTTATTTTGAATAAACAAAAGGTAAGAAACATAAAACTATCATCAGCTCATAAATAAAAGAAAATTTTATCAAATCAACTTCGCATAATAAATCTATCTCAACTCTGGCGAATCCTTATTAATGTCATATGCGCATAGCGCCATACACAGATTACCTCCTAATAGATACCGCATCATGGAATATTTGATCCGTTTCGATTTCACCAAATTTCGAGTTCCGGGGGACGTGTCAAATGCGCTGTGATTGGATAATTCAAGGTTGAACTTAGAATGCTCCGAACCATAGTTAGACAGTGGAGTGATCGCTAAATTTGGGATTTATAGATTATTGATAAATAAATGAATTGATCAATTTTTATTTGAAATTTTATAAAAAAATAAAACAGTGTATATAAATAAAAGAAATATATATATATATATGTATATATATATATATATATATATATATATAATACATATTTCTTTTATATATATGTAATCTAATGATTTCTTAAATTTACGCGAACACTACACATTGAATAAAACTATATAATTATATGGATTTTATCACGTTTAACTTATGGCCACGGAGGGGGGGGGGGTCTGAGATGTTTGACATCTCAATATTATAGCCCGGCTATCTTGAGTTTTCGAATATTGATTTTTGGTCCCGATCTACATAAAACGAGCTTATAGTATCTTGAAGTCTTGCAGTGGTATGCTTGGTTACATTAATCACATTATAACTTTCGATTATTAACGCGCTTGCTGGCCTCCTACACGCTGTCTTATAAATAGCGCGCTATAACATAGCGTATTTAATAGCGCGCTAGAAAATTATATTTTATAGTCTGTAGCGTGCTATTAATTTACAGTCGTTTTGAACAACTTTAATTCTTAGCGCGTCATCGATTAACAGTTCATTGGGCGCCGTGGTCAAGGATAGACGACACCCTGATGAAGTCATAAACGAATAGCGGAACCAGTGCAGTGCAACATGAACGATTCCTCAGAACTCATTCGTATTTTGAAAAGCGTTGATGAAGATGATTTTTTTTAATTTTAATAATAATAAAAGTACATATAATAAACGTTTTTTTTTCTTATTCCGCCCTATCCTATTCCCGTCCCATCTCTTATATAAAACCTATAATGTTCTCTCATTGTGCTGCAAGCAGCATTAAAATTGCCCTAGAGAAGAGAGGTCACTAATAAAAGACGCAAAGATAAAGTAGTTAAAACTAACATTAGAATAAGGCATTTTTTCATACATAGATTTTTAGATTTACTACATACAGGAATGGAAGAGAATTGCTAACTTTTAATACTGCCCTCTGTGCCCCTTTCCAATAAGGGTATTTACACCATGTAAAAAAAAAATATTTATGATTGGTTTTGTAAAAAGTAAACGAGAAATATCGATTTCTATTTATAAAATTGCATTATAAATTTTATATTTCAATTTTAAGAATTTTTTTGTCCGTGCCTCAAATCTGCAATACGCTGTCAGCCATATTAGAAACTGTCGTGACGTCACTGATCTCGCCAAAGGGAATTGTTTTTTTTATAGTATAAGGGTGACAAACGAGCACACAGTCCACCTGATCGAGTTCTTCCCCGGTCGAGCCGACCCATTCATGCTACAACCATAATTGCTACACTGTGGTTCCACCACGTTGTAAAAGTCACTACAGTCCGTTCGCGTTAAGAAAATAGTGAGCCATCGTTGTCCGCCGGCCTGGCCACGCCCCCCAGCCAATTAAAATACAAGAAATTAGAAAGTCGAGTTCACAGTGACAACAGACACGTAATGGCATTACAATTCTTCGCCTACCGCCTTCTAACCATTGCAAACCTAATCCAATTTAAATTGTTTTGGGCCCAAATAAAAAATTATGTTGGTGCCAATAACTTCACGTTCAAAATGTCAAAATGAGTGACAGAAAAAAATTTTAGATGACGCAATAGCATTAATAGACGCTAATCGTTGGAAGAAGTGCTGCGACCACGTGATACGCGAAGAAAATATCATGTGGAATTTGGATGACATCATGGAACTAGCAGAACAAAATTCTTTCATAATTAATGTAACTGGAGAATCTAGCGATACTGATTAGTGATTTAAGTAATTTTAAGAAAATTTGTTTCCATTAAACTTAATTAAATGTGTGAAAAAAAAAAGAATTTTTACTCCACTGTGAATACACCTTTACCCTGTAGTTGCACTGATGACTCACTATTTTCTTAACGCGAACGGACTATAGTGTTCTGTGTCACTGATGAGGAGAACTAGCTAATAGTGCTGTGTTATTTCATAATTTTTAATTGCATAATTTTTTGCTTGCAATACCAATTTTTGTTCTGCTGAGTTGAGGAACGTTAAAACATCAATGTACATATTAACAAGTTTTGTTAATACAAAAACCAAGACCAGGTCAGAGAGTATGTATTTTGATAAAACATAGTTTAGTAGATATCATAGTTTAGTTTATCTATAATTACAATCATTCGTTATAATATCTAGGTTAACGTAATTTATTACAAAATTTGATTTGCGATAACCTTCAACTCATGACGTTTTGCATTGTATAAACGATAGTTACACATACGTCATACTTACATCAAAATGATCTTCACAGAAGAATAATAGTTTTTGTAGACAATGTATTTGGGTATCTTCTTGCCAGTTTTAACCAAGTATTTCTCATATTTAAATCGTTTGGCACTTGAATCCATAATTTTCTCGGCGTTCTTATGCTCGTATTTTTACATTCAGGCACAACACAACAATGATATAGATGACAACTCATTATTAAACGTTAGAAAGTATCTAATTCTGGGACAGTGACGTCACGAATTGAACAGAATGGCGGCTAGCTTTTTCACTCGAAAATTTAAAGCGATAGATTAAAAGTAATTTTTATGGCACTATACGGTTTAAAAAAAATTATATAAAAATTATAGTGATTCACTATCACTCTAGGATTAATTTAAAATGCTTTTTGAACATTGGTGCAATACGCTATTGCAACATAGTTGTTTAGGTGGCCCTCCCCAATATATTGTATTTTATATTATAAACAATAAATTGATATAGTCCTTTAAATAAAACCAATATCAACTAAAGAAATACTGACCTGCAACTCGGCCCTTAATCTTCTCTGTTCTTCTAGAGCCTGCTCGGAGCTCTTGATGTGCTCATTTAACTTTTCAACTCTCTTCATTGCTTCATTTCTTTCGTGACCCTATTAGAAAAATATACTGTGATATTATTTACATGTGCATACTGCAAATTTAGTTTATATTTATGTATGTGGCTGACGCTATATTATAGTTGTAGTACCCATTGTGCGGCTCGACTGGAGAATAACAGTGGTAGAGCCACGCGGCAGCCTTTGCCTTTGCTGTTGCACGCATGGGCCGCTCAAACTGGTGTGGTACCACGACCTCACAGAAGACCAGCGTTAAGTAGAGGCTTTGCTTCTTTGAGTGCAGGTGGCCGGAGGCCAAATCCCCCCCCCCCATCAACATGTACGTCCGAGAGGACATCTGTTTCCGACGTCTCGGCATCCTTGAAGGTACGGACCTGTCCATCTTATGGCTGCGCGTAGACAGCGACGACCATCCCCGCGTCTACGGGTGCCTATAGGTCTCATAGCGGTAATGCCGAAACAGACTGACTCATCGACCACGTCCAGATGGCTACAGACTCCATGCTACAACAGATCCCATCCGCAGAGATTGTGATACTTGAAGATTTTAACGCCCACCACGCTGAATGGCTTAGTTTTCGTTTAACCGATCATGCGAGTAGATCTGTTTATGACTCTGCTTCGGCATATGGTCTGACACAACTGGTTACCTCGCCTACGCAGATCCCATATGTAGAAGATCATGTGCCTTCCCTGTCGGACCTTCTGCTGACCTCTCATCCGGACGAATAACAGGTCTCCGTCGATGCCCCTCTTGGCTCCTCGGACCATTGTCTGATCCGGAGTACGGTGCCACTCACGCACTCATCGCGGTTGTATACTGCAGGTTGCCGCCGTGTTTGGCATTATAGGTCAGCAGATTGGGACGCGATGCGATCTTTTTTTTGCATCCTACCCTTGGGGGCGGGTTTGCTTCTCGCCGGATGATCCCAGCGTTGTTGCTGATTCTGTCGCTGATGTGGTGCTACAGGGAATGGAACTTTTTATTCCATCATCTGTGGTACCTATCGGAGGCAGAACCCAGCCTTGGTTTTTTTATAGAAGAGGAGGCAAACGAGCATGCGGCTCACCTGATGTTAAGTGAATACCGCCGCCCATGATCAACCGCAACACCAGGGGAATTGCAGGTGCGTTGCCGGCCCTTTAGAAAGGAGAAAGGAGTAAGCTCTTTTCTTGAAGGTCCCCAGGTCGTATCGGTCCAGAAAAATCGCCGATGGTAAACTATTCCACAGAGAGGTCGTACGCGGAAGAAAACTCCTTGTGAAACGTACAGTGGTGGACCGCCATGTATCCAGATGGTGTGGATGGTATCAGGACATTTGCTGCGTAGTGCATTCACGAAATTTAGCCGCTGAGATTAATCCGAACAATTTCTCAGAGCACTCCCCATGGTATATGCGAAAGAAAATGCAAAGAGGGAGAGAGAGAAAGAGATATTGGTTTTGGTCGCTCCTGCAAAATTTCACTACGTCATAAGCAGAAATGCCACCAGGCCTGGGCTCGCGCCTCGACGTCCCGAGATGCAAACACCAGCGCCCTTAAAAAGAAGTACAATTCTGCCTCCAGGTCCTTCAAAAGTGTCATTGTCACGGCAAAGTCAGAGCACATCGGCAGAATTGGCGAGAAACTAGTTCGTCTTCCTTCGGGAACACGTGCATTCTGGTCTCTTGCCAAGGCTGTCCAAGGGAACTTCTGCCTGTCATCTTTCCCATCTCTGCACAGGGAGGACGACTCACCGGCCCATGCCGCATGGGACAAAGCCGATCTGCTGGGCCCTTTCTTTGCGTCCAACTCAACTCTTGATGACGGGGGGGAACACGCCGCCGACCATCCCGCGGAGTGAGTGTTACATGCAGGATGTCCTGTTTACCAAACGCTCAGTGCGCAGAGCACTCCTCTCCCTGGACATCAACAAGTCGAGTGGGCCGGATAGCGTCCCTCCTATTGTGCTGAAGACGTGTGCTCCGTCTTGAGTTGGCACCGGTTTTAACGCGTCTTTTCCGGTACTTCTACTCCTTCGGCGTAGTCCCGAAATCATGGAAGACAGCCCTCGTGCACCCGATCCCTAAAAAAGGTAACCACTCTGATTCGTCCAACTATAGGCCTATCGCCATCACCTCCTTGTTCTCTAAAATAATGGAATCCATTATTAACAGCCAGCTCATGCGGTACCATCGGAAGATCATCAGCTGATTAGTGACCGCCAGTACGGAGGCGTTGGGCGTTAGTTTGGACATAGCGAAGGCCTTTGATCGGGTTTGGCACAACGCGGTTCTTACAAAGCTTCCTTCTTAAGGGCTTACTGAGAAATTGTGCAGTTGGATCACCAGTTTTCTTGCTGATCAGAGCATCAAGGTCGTGGTAGACGGTGCATGCTCCCATTACAAACCCATTAATGCTGGTGTTCCACAAGGCTGCGTGCTATCACCGACGATGTTACTTCTGCATATCAATGACATGTTGCAAACTGGTAACATTCATTGCTATGCAGACGACAGCACTGGTGATGCTTTATGCACCGGCCGTGCCAATATTTTTCGGGAAAACCTCGCAGAGTACAGGGACAAACTTGTGTCTAAAGTCGAAACTTTGTTGAACAAAGTCTCGGACTGGGGGCGACTAAATCTAGTCCAGTTTAATCCCCAAAAGACACAAGTTTGCGCGTTTACCGCTAAAAAAACCCTGTTCGTTGTATCTCCTCAGTTTCAAGGCACTCCCCTTGTTGCTTCAGCCAGTATTGGAATCCTCGGCGTCGGCATATCGAGTGAAGTGCAGTTTCGTGGTCACTCGGAAGATAAGGCCAAATTGGCCTCTAGAAGCTTGGCGTGCTCAGCAGAGCGGGACAGTATTTCATGCCGGCTCACCGCCTGCACCTTACAAAGCGCAGGTTCGGCCGCACATGGAATACTGTTCCCATCTCTGGGCCGGGGCTTCCCAGTGCCAGCTCCTTCCATTTGACCGCATCCAGCGCAGAGCTATTATAACTGTCGGCGACCGAGCTCTTTCCGATCAGCTTGACTCACTGGCACTGCGAAGAGATGTTGTATCACTTTGCGTATTTTATCGCATCTACCACGGGGAGTGTTCTGAGGAATTGTTCGGACTAATATCAGCCGCACAATTTCACCATCGCACATCGCGATAAAACTCACGATATCATCCATACCATCGGGATGACTGGCGGTCCACCACCGTGCGATTTAAAAGAAGTTTTCTTCCTCGCACAACTTCCTTGTGGAATGGACTACCACCAGAGATTTTTCCGGACCGATACAACTTAGGGACCTTCAAGAAAAGAGCCTACTCCTTTTTAAAAGGCCAACAACGCATCTGCAATTCCCCTGGTGTTACAGTTGCTCATGGACGGCGGTAATCACTTACCATCAGGTGAGCCGTATGCTCGTTTGCCCCCTCTCTTATATATAAAAAAAAATAATGACACTTTCACAGAATGAATAATTGTTTCGTATAGTGAGTGTAAAAAACAGGGGACACTACTGGATATCACACATTTCATCTTAGTCCTCAGGGGTGACCAAGCACATACATTCTGATTTTTAATCAAGGATAGACGTATACATCTATAGGCCTCAGCAGGCACTTACCATAAGGTGGACTGTGCGTTTTTTGTCACTCGTATACTTTAAAAAACAAACAAAAGAAATAAATGAAATAAGTTGCGGCGCTGACGTCCGCGGGTTCGAATCCTGCACGGAATACAAGTATGATCTACAAATAATTGTTTCGGATCTGGATTTTTGTTCATGTGAAATTTATGTTTATAAACTGCCTCCACGATACAGGGGAAAATTCTAGTGTGGAGGTAACGTTTTAAAAAAAACATGTGTGCAGTTCACATGCGATAGAAGTGAAACCTTCAAAAAAGGGAACGAGTTAAAGGAAACACTGTATACTGTATTCTATTTCATTCTCTCGCAGGCTAAATCATATAGATGTGTATGTTTGTCTCTTTCAGTGTCGCCTTTTCATTTCGTCGAGTTTCAAATCACGATTCTAAAGCAGTTTTCTCTTAAAAAAACTAAATTAAAAGATAGCTTAGAACATATATCGGTAAAGTAAAGTTGGAAGAAAGGCCAGTTACCTTCTGACGATGCTTGTTCTCGAGCTCGCCCTTGCGGCGCAGCTCGTTATCCAGGCGGTCCTGGTCAGCCTTCTGCTCGCGATTGACTGAGTCCAGCTCCTGCAGGTAGCGGGCTGCTGCGCGAGACGCCTCCATCTTCAGCTCCTCGTACTCGCGGATCTGCACCAAGCACCAGCACTCGCAATCATATATATCATCTTATATGTGGTAGAGCCACGCTGCACAGAGTACTAGCGTGAAATAGTAGCTTGATGCTGCTTTCGTATGGTTAATGTAGAGAACTGAGGACCCTTTTTGCTGGAAACAAGGCATTCCAATTCTATCAAAACCTTCAGGTATGACAACGCATCTGAATTTTTATTTAAGGATAAGATAAGGATAGATGTAGATGTTTATGGGTCACAGCATCCACTTAACATTAGGTGGAATGTGTGCATGTTTGTCACCCTTACTAACTATTCATTGATGCATCTTGCTTTTACAAAACATTAATTTTACGAACAAAAAACATCTTAACAAAATATTTAAAAAATATGGATTGCAAAAACAAAAAGGCCACCAACTCAGCACTCTACAGTAACAGAGTTAGCGTAACAGCGTTGATATTTTGTTGGAGCCAAATAAGTCGACTCGCAAGCAATAAATGACTTACTTTGAGCAGAATTCAAAACCCCTCCCTATCTCTGGATTGCCATCTTGTTGTGGCAAAGGGGGCTTTGTAGCCATGGTTTGGTCAAGGAACAAAGAGGAATCTACTAGGCTAGCCAGAGTTGATAGGTTAGCCCGAGGTATCTGCTCCGGTGTTTTTCACGCAGTTGGTGATGGAGGATGTGAAAAAGGTGTGCTTTGTTTTAGGAGGTGAAGAGAGGGAGGAGTTATCCATGTCTGTGGGGAAGAGATCTGTAAGGGACGACGGGAGCTGGTGGAAGGGCTGCGGATGTCTACAAAAGCATTTTCATGGGCCTGCTAATATGTGGCGAAATTGAAACAACATGGTTTTTAGTTGGTAAGCAACTATCTTACAATGAAAAAGGCAGAATTCAAACCTGAAAAACTGCAGCATGATAGCCGCTCGCTATACTCAAAAAAATAAACCCTTGTAGCATAAATAATTTTATTCTAATCAGCACCACTAACAATATGTGAAATAATACAGTACTGTTCAGAAATGAAATTATTTTTGTGAGTTTTTTTGGAAATACTGTTAGTATCACTCACCTGAGCCTCTTCTAAATGAACATCAGCACGTCCACTAGGACCAGTTCCTAGAATGGATTTTTCCCAAGCAGCTTTCTGTTCCTCTACTTGTCGTAACTCTTCCTCAAGTTTTCTTATGTCAGCTTGATGAGCCTCATGGGCTTTGCGTGCCTGCTCTAATGTTTTAATAGAACTCTCTAGCTTTTTTTGAGTGTGCGTAACACGTTCCTTGGCTTTGATAAAGGTAGGTCGTTTCTTAGACACCTCAGCTTCCTGTACATTAAAATAAAAAAATGACGGACGATAGTTTAACGTGACAACATCACAACAAAACATTGATGAAATAATTGCATACTTTGTGGAAGAGAGATAGATGCGACCAAACCGAACGCTCAAGCATGTCGTGCCTTTCGCTCGCTCGTACAGCACTCTTGCTCCGATCGTAACGTTAGAATGAGCGTAACGTTACAATGCGTCATCCTTTTTCGTGCAGCCGGCGTTCATTGATTTATTAAACGTTGTCATTTGTTTAAGCAAAGTTTAAAAGACGAAACTCCAATGGAAACCTTAGACTTTTAAATTTCCATCCATTATCGCCTATAAAAGTCCACAGCTGAACATAGGCCTACCCCATAGATTGTTTCATAGGGGTGGATTTTGCCATAGCCAAAGCATGGCAGGCGGGTTCGCAACAGCGGTTTTTTATTATTTTGAGTTGTTATCAGGAAATTCTGCTACCCTTCACCTGTTTCAATTTCCGTATGTCGCCTCTTACGACAATCAAGGGATGTTATGGGGTAGTGATAATTCTTACACCACCACTACACGGTAACTTACACCACGCTTTTAAATAAAAAAAAACTATATTTTCTACCAAATTCATATCTAGATATTTGTATGAGTTTAGAGGGAATCTCGCAAGTTTTTTTTTTTTGCAATATTGATGATCTACACACAGTAAAACCATAGAAAAATTGTTTACAGTAATTAAAAGCCACCAAATTTTGAATTCTCTAAACTTTGTCAGTTTAACTCTAATATGTAATGATTTCTTATATTTACGCGAACACTATACATTGATTAAAACTACTTTTACGGATTTTATCGCGTTTTATTTATATTAATTTTAATACCCGACGTTGGTCGTTATATAAGCACCCGAAACGTCGGGTATTAAAATTAATATAAATAAAACGCGATAAAATCCGTAAAAGTAGTTTTAATCAATCTAATATGTAATATTAATTTGAATTGATTCTTGTTACATACCACTTCTCTGATATCTTGTTCTATCTTCGCAAGCTCTCTTTGTATGGTGCCAGCTTCTTTCTTTTTCTCTTTGAGTGCATCTTCAGCTTTCTGCCTCTTTTTCTCAATCTTGGCCAATTCATTCTGTTTGTGCCGCAAGTCTTCTTCGGTAGACTGTATTTCTCTCTCATTGTGGTATAAATGGAATAGTTGCAGCTCCACCTTTTGTTCTTGCTGTAATAAAAATAAAACCAATTAATGAATAAAGAAACAACTAAAGATTATTATGATATTGATAAATTCTGACCATCTCCTTATATTGTATTTTCTTTTATTGTGTGTTGTGAAATGTTTGTAAACTGATTCAAACGGTTATCTTATTTTGAACACTTTAATATTCATGGATGCACGCTGACTTTTTATATTCTTATGCAGTTGTCAATACATATACATATGTAACTTATTAACAAGCTCAATACATATAAATATGCAACTTATCAACTTAACTTTAAGAAATGGTAGAGCCACGACACCAATATTTAAACAGTGAATCTCACCATCATGCTTCACATTCAGCTACCGTGGGCAAATCTTATATTATAGAGAGCACGAGTGATCGGTGACAGCTGTCAAGTGGCTGCTCAGCTTCAGCACGTCAAGCATATTCTTCAAGACAACAAGCTTCGGGTCCCGCGCCTACGTCACAGAGACCGAGTGAAGCCGGCCACAGTCGATCGTGTGCCTGCTGTACTACCATATGTCAATGGTATCACAAATTAGGTTGACTATATCTTGAAGCGAGCTTCTATTAGAACATTCTACAAGCCGCCGAAGATTAGTTAGTTCTTAACATCCGTCAAGTGTCATTTTCCTCTACAAGATGCAGGAGTGTATGAACTTGATTGTGAATGTGGTCTCTCATATATAGGGCAAACAAAACCCGCGTAAAAAACATATAGCTAACGTGAAGCATCAACATTCCCGGAAGTCTGCAGTTGGTGATCATATCCTAGACGGCCCCAACCACTACATCAGATTTGATAGAACACAAATCCTCGCGAAAGAACATCGATTCCTACCAAGGATGATACATGAGGTTATTGAAATTAAAAACATCCTAATTTCAATAGAGAAGGAGGCTGGGTACTACCACCTGCTTGGGACCCTGTAATTAATAAAATTAAAACTAAACCCAAGCTTTCCACTGCAAGACTTCAAGACACAGTAAGTTCATTCTGCGTAGATAGGACCATAAACAATAATTAAAAAAAGCTGAAGGTACTACGGGTTTAACAGTGACATCGGGACGTCAGTCACCTCAGTCCCCCGTGACCATGGGCGCTAGAAAACACCCGAAACGTCGGGAATTAGAAATATTCAACAAAGATATCTTTGTCACCAAAAATATTTTTCCATCTTTTGGATAATTTTTTATATTTTTCTTTTTGTTTTGTAGGAAGCATAAAAACTATGAATACCCGTATTATTGTTTAAATAATTTCTAGCTTTCTAACAAATTACTATTGTTATAAATAAACCTTAAAATTGCTAAAACATACTTTTCATTTACATAAAAATAATTATACTGGCAGAGACTGGTTAATGCGCCTACGCGGATTCCAGATGTGGAAGATCAACTTCCCTGTTTGACCGTCTGCTTACCTCTCATCCGGACGGATATCAGGTTTCCGTCGACGCCCCTTTAGGCTTGTCGGACCATTGTCTTGTCCGGAGTGAGGTGCCCCGTTGTTCTTTTCTATGGGCTTCCCGAGAAATTGTGCAATTGGATCACCAGTTTTCTTGCTGATCGGAACATCAAGGTCGTAGTAGACGGTGCATGCTCCGATTACAAGCCCATTAACGCTGGTGTTCCACAAGGCTGCGTGCTATCACCAACGCTGTTTCTTCTGCATATCAATGACAATTCATTGCTATGCAAACGACAGCACTGGTGATGCTTTATACACCGGCCGTACCAATATTTCTCAGGAAAACTTCGCCGAGACCAGGACAAACTTGTGTCTGAAGTCGAGACTTTGTTGTACTAGGTCTCGTACTGGGGGCTACTAAATCTAGTCAGGTTTAATCACCAGAAGACACAAGTTTGCGCGTTTACCACTAAAAAACCCCGTTCGTTGTATCTTCTCAGTTTCAAGGTACTCACCTTGTTGCCTCAGCCAGTATCGGAATCCTTCGGCGTCGACATATCGAGTGACGTGCAGTTTCGTGGTCACTTGGAAGAGAAATCCAAATTGGCCTCTAAAAAGCATGGCGTGCTCAGCAGAGCGGAACAGTATTTCATGTCCGCTCATCGCCTGCAACTTCACAAGCCGCAGGTTCGGCCGCACATGGAATACTGTTCCCATCTCTGGGCCGGGGCTCCCTAGTGCCAGCTCCTTCCATTGGTCGCATTCAGCGCAAAGCTGTTCGAATCGTCGGCGACCGAGCTCTTTCGATCGACTTGACTCTCTGGCACTGCGAAGGGATATTGCATCTCTTTGCGTATTTTATCGCATCTACCACGGGGAGTACTCCGAGGAATTGTTCGGACTAATTCCAGCCGCATAATTTCACCATCGCAGATCGCGAAAAAACTCTCGATACCATCCAAACCATGTGGATGACCGGCAGTCCACCACCGTGCGATTTAAAACAAGTTTTCTTCCTCGCACAACTTCCTTGTGGAATGGACTACTACCAGAGATTTTTCCCGACCGATACAACTTAGAGACCTTCAAGAAAAGAGTCTACTCCTTTTTAAAAGGCCGGCAACGCATCTGCAATTCCCCTAGTGTTGCAGATGTTAATGGGCGGCGGTAATCACCACCAGGTGAACCGTATGCTCGTTTGCCCCCTTTCCTATAAAAAAAAGGCATTGCGCCCCTTGTTATATTTAAAAATGATACCAATAAAGCTTAAATAAATAAATGTTGTCCTATGCCAGTGAAATTTGGGGTACTTACCAACTCCTGTTTAAGACGCGTATATTTCTCTGCCTCTTCCTTCTCAAATTTAGCTTCCTTGCGCTCTGCAGCCACTCCTTTCTTCTTCTGATAAGAGAATTGTGCTTCCTCATCGGCTCGATTTACTTCCGCGCGACAAGCTTCATACTGTTCTTTCAAGACTCCCGACCTTTATATTTTATATTGATTTTTATGATTAAAACATTTCATATGAGTTATGTGTGATGTGCATGCATATTGAGTTAGTTAGTTAAGTAATAGATAAGAATGTGCATGTTACATGTGGATTTGAATCCTGTCAGCTGTTGGACAGTTATCAAATTTACCATAAAGCTATTGGTCGTGAACCATTCTAGCACAAGCACCTAAAGTCCAACTGGAGTGATTAGTGCAAGTATTAGTATTTAATGTGAAACCTTACCCACTAATTTCTTCAAACAGAGCTGTTCTTTCTTTAGGGTTTTTCATAGCTATAGACTCTACTGCTCCTTGGAAGACCAAAAAGTTCTTCGCCTTCACATTGATTCCCAATTTTTCTAACTCACTTAAGTAATTACTTACGGAGACCGTCTAAAACCACAGAAAAATTAAACATAGGCTAAATTAATAAATATTTATTTTTAATAAATATTAAGCTATATTAATAAATATTTTGATAAAAAGGTCTTATTACATGTTTTTTTAAATAATTCTCTTCTTCACAATTCTATTAAAGAGCATTGAAGTAATTTGTACTATGTACTCTGTACTTGTAATGTACTTTATAATCTGTGCGGCGCGTAGTCGAAGGCACAGAGTACCTTTATATGGCAAAGACTAAGGCCGGTTTTAGAGCTCGACCGACCGTCGGTGCGTACCATCGGTCCTGACCATACGCATAACCGATCGTCAGTTTGTAGCGTTCAGTGCTCTCCTGAGCAACGAAACTGGCCGGACTGGTACAGTCACAAACACGTACAAGGAATGGACGCGTTTACAAATTGTTTAATTACTGCTTACTATGTTCGTAAACGTATAAAGAACAGAATACGTAGATATCAGGTTCCCCCAATCGTCACCCAAAGAGCACTTCAAGGGGAATTTACTACTTTATATTTATTATTGTGCAAAGATGAAGAAAATTTTTTTAATTACTTTAGAATCTCAATCAAAGGTTTTGATGAATTATCAGTGAATTACAAGACAACTTAAAACATCCGTGAGGCTATATGCCATGTTTGATAAAAATTAATTAAATCACTAACACTAATTAATACCTATATAATCATACAATATTGTTAAAGTTTAGGTTCGATTTTCTGGACGATGATACACGCATACGTACGGTCGGTGTTGCACTGAACGCGTCAATATGTTTCCATAGCGCGTCGGTCGACCAACGGTACGCTTGACCGACGGTCCTCGTATGCAGAGCGTAGCTATATACGCATGCGTACGGTCGGTGGAGCACTGTAACGACTTGTGAATTTTCATACAAAAGGCAAGCGCGACCGACGTACGCACCCATGGTCGGTCGAGCTCTAAAACCGGCCTAAGTTTGAGCTCATGGCTCTAACGCGTATTGCAAACAACCAAACCTCTGCGTCTCTTCTAGTAAGTATGTAGTACATATTACTTCAATGTTAAAGAGATACATTTTTTTAAATATAATTACATAATATGTTTAAATGTCAATTTCTATATTATTTGTATGTCTAACCTGTCCATCAATCTTGTGGTCTGAAGACTGGCCTATGACAGACCTCTGGAATTGTTTCTCTGTCATGTCTTCCAGAACGAATGTTGCTGTTACGGATGCACTGTCAAAACAAAATTTTATACATTTTTCATACATTTTAAAATGCATGAAGCTATACATTCAAATATTTTTTTTTTTAATTATTATAATCCAGTGTTTGACTACTAGTCCGTCCACAGACCTTCGGTAAGTGGTGACACAGTTAAAGATGGGAAAGCACATTGACTTAGTTTAACAAAAGCTTAATCACTGATGATCACCATTGAACTTGTGATGAGCTGAAATGATGATCAAGATGATGAGTGGTAAATTAAAATTTTTTGTTAAATTCAGTTTCTTTTTACTACTTACTTAATACTAAATCTTAATGTGGTATTTTAACACTTTGCAATTTTTTGCGAAAATATTTTTCATTATCAACAAGAATGTATTAAATTTTGTTTTAATGACTTGAATATTATCTCTTAAAAGTGCCAGCCCACCTCCATAGCCACTAGAATTAGAGTATCCCCAACACTTTAAGAAAAATAAAGAGCTAGCTAAGAGCATTTTTCTTATTCCCTTTCATTCATTTGCCTGTCTCAGTTTAAATTATTGCAAACACATTTCGACATCGGTCTTCCGCTCGGTTTGGTATAGTGACAAAAATGAACAATTTCTCATCATAAATACGGTTGTTTTTAATGTATTTGTTTATTTCTGGGGTTTTTTCGGTGTGACAATAATGCGGCGCGCATTATTTGTATTAAATAAAACTTTAAAACCTATGTCTACCAACACACTCTTTATTTTCTCACCTCCGAGAAGCATACCTTGTTTAGTTAACTGTTATAACAAATCACATTATAGGTTGGGAAATTTCAACAGGAATTCAAAAATATATAATTAATAATAGGCCTGATACAAAAATCAGCATATAAACCCCTTTTTAGCACGCAATGGCCTTTTTTTTTCTTTTCTTATAAAAAAGAATATTAACGATGCTATAAACATTACTAATATTCCCCTTAACCACACGTGGTAAGCTTAAATTGCTTGTGTTACGTGTGGTTCACGCCAGTAGTCGAATGGCGGATTCGAACCCACGAACTTTTGAGTTCGCGGTCCGCGCCCTGCCATCAGGCTACTGTCACTTTACTTTTTAGTGTGGCCGTTGAAAGGTCGTCGCGACTTTGGCTCTCTAAAGTCTATTAAATCACGTTTTTTTTTTGTTTGTACTTTCTAATATATTATGTGATGGCCCCCTTCTGAACGGCACTTAGATGGCCTCCTAATTAAAACAAATATGTAGTGGATGACAGTTATATGTGTACTGCATTAAAAGCATATAACAACTTGGTAAAAGAAATATTTACTAGTTTTTCGAAACATATTTTGTGTGTTTTATTATGGGACAGTATTATATGGTTATTGAAGTAATAGCCCTGACAGACCTGGCTCATAACAGAATGGTTAGTCTGTGTCCGTTTGTTGGACTAGTTGTCTACACCAGCCCGTGTAAATTAACCACCAGCAATCATAAAATCATTTTAATTAATAGATCGATAATATATGTGGGCACGGCTTTGACTGTTAATTGCAGGTCTCAAACACAAGATGTAATAAAACAAAACTTAAATGGTGTTATTACAAAATGTGTTTTATTAATGTTTCAGATGCAAACAAGTCTTTGTCACAAAGGAAGTCCCTAAGGCATGGACCCACAATAATTGCAAAATTTTACATTTGCTGCTTATATACCTTACAAGGTTCTTTTTACATGTATGAATATTTTCAATGGGGTGTTTTTATTGGAACATACTTAGTTTGAACCTGACATTAATTTGAATACGTGAGATTATAATGATTTGATAATGTATAAATTATCTACTTATATATATTGCATTGCAGTTTTACAAAATGTGTTTTATTAATGTTTCAGATGCAAACAAGTCTTTGTCACAAAGGAAGTCCCTAAGACATGGACCCACAATAATTGCAAAATTTTACATTTGCTGCTTACTATAGCTTACAAGGTTCTTTTTACATGTATGAATATTTTCAATGGGGTGTTTTTATTGGAACAGACTCTAGTTTGAACCTGACATTAATTATGAACTATGATGAGATTAATAATGATTTGATCAATGTATAAATTATATCTACTTATATATATTGCATGTATTTACCCAAACCGGTTATTCATCTGTGAAAATTTCTAATAGGCTTACTTTGTGAATTACATTATATACCATATAGTATTCATTAAAAGCTATAAGTTTTCCTCTTATAAAATAAATAAATAAATTTCAGACTTATTTTTCCCTGTGTATGTTTGTAATCTAGGGTGCTAAGACCTTTTCATAAACCTTATAGCAGATAATGCAGAGAAACAATAATTTTATTGAAATAACCTATACATGGATAGAGCTCAAATCTTTTATATACAAATAAGGATGACCAACGAGCACACAGTCCACCTGAGGGTAAGTGGATAATGTGGCTCAATGAACATGACATCTATATTAGATTATATTTCAAAATAAACATGTATTGTGACTTCTATTGTCTTTTTTTTTGTAGATAGGAAAAATCTCACAATTTTTTTTTATAAAAGATTTTGTTTACTTTGTTGTCACTCCCATGACTGACTTGACATTTGTAGAATTCTATTAGGAAACACCATAAAGTAAAGAAGAACAAGGACTAACCTCTTTTCACTGCTACATAGTGAAAAAAGGTAACATCCAAAACAATGCAGCATTATGCTACTTGCTGTTTCAAGCACATATTCTGTTTCTGGGGCAGTTACTTATCAAGTAAGCATATTCCTAAGGACTATTTCTACATAAATTAACACAAGATATGATATAAATACCTTCGAGATACGGGTTTATTGATTGAAGCTCCATGAATTAAATCACTAAGACGCTTGACACGTAGGAGGGATGTTTTTTCTCCCATGACAAAACTAACTGCATCCATAAAGTTTGATTTCCCTGTAAAAGAAATATTATTACATATATATACACTTAACCATTTAACCAAAATATAGTATACAATTAAGGATATATCCTGGTTTGTATGTAGAACTAAAAACAAAGTAAAAATTTGTAGTATGTTTTGTAAAACTGAACTGACAAATTAAATAAGAGTCCACCTGATCCTCCTCCTCCTCCTGCAGTCCATGGACATCTGCAACCTCTAATGACTAAGATGAAATGCCTTTTATTATACTGGCTCTCTACACATTTCAGACCGGAAAACAGGAATGCACCGGCCTATTTCTATCGCGTAGAGGTAGGCATGCAATACATTAAAGAGTACTCAGACAGACACCTAGACTAGAAAAGGAGTACCACTATACCACCAAGTAGATTGATACTTAATTCGCTTCAAGTGTGATGTTAACCCAATGAGGTTGGCAGCTAATGCATGCCCGTCTACCAGCCGACTCCATGTGCCCATTTGGCAAGTAATCAAGACTCACTATTAAATTAAAAAGTAAACGCTGTTTGTTTCAGATTCTAATCTTTGAACATCATAAACTAACTTCACTGCATATAGGAGATAGATTTTAAAAAGTTTGTAGTGTGATAAAAATTTATTGAGAGAAGTAATTTTTTTATCTCTTTTGATTGAATGATGGATGTATTATGATGCAAATAAAACAAGTACCTTTTTATACAATGGTTTACTTTCATAATCCATATTCTTTAACCTCTCAATCCCCTAATGGTCTCATGAGACCGCGGCCATATTCCGTCAAATCCCTAGCGGTCTCATGAGGTCGCACCCACCCACAGTACTTTAACCCATAAAAACTTATATATACAGACTACTTTTCTATGAAGAAGTTTGGCATTATAGAATCGATATGAAAATTTCTATCCTCTAGTGCAATAAAAAATAAACAGTTATGGATATTTACTTATAATCTACGTTCATTTCGTACGCCATTTTCGTGTAAATGTTAGTGTGTTGATTTTTGGATTTTCTAGTGTTTTATTAGTGTATTTATATTTATTAATTTATTCTGAAGCCCAAATTCATAAACTGTTTAATGTAAAATAACTAGATTTGTCTATGTTTACATAATAGATTTTTACTATGTTTTTGTATGCTGTGTTGGGAGGCAAACATGCGTTTTTGGTTAAGTTTTATTACAATTTCAATTTTATATTATGTTCTTACTCTTACACTCACCCTTACACTACACACACCACATGAAAAATCAATTATATATTTTTTATGTATAAGTTTACCATGGCATAAAGATAAAGACAAAATAAATAATAAAATACCTATAATGACTAAATTTTATGAAATATTTAGCACAATAATTGTTTCGTTTTATTCTCAAATATTCACTTTCGTACAAATTTAATACTCCCTCGATCATTTCAATCCTTTTATTTATACAAAATTAAATGGTTACTCCTTTGCAAATACTAAATGACATAGATCATTATAAAATTAATAACTCCAAACAATACAATATCCAGGACTAAGGTAAGCACATTCAAATTAATATATCAGATCTTACTATCTTTATGCAAAATATAAGAAGCATGAATTTATATTTTGACGATCTTATGGTAGCTATTGTGCAACTAGAATTTGATCCTACAATAAAATCATCTCCTAATAAATCAATTAATTTTGTTGGTGAATATTTTGCTAACATTGGAAAAAATTTAGCTTATGACATTAATATAAATGAAACTCCTATGCTAATACACACACCTGTCGACCCCCAAATACAAGTTCCTATTTGTCATCATTCATTCTTTTTGACATTGATCCTCAGGAAGTAGTCCTTAGTATTAATATTCTGAAAACTGATAGTGCTGCTAGTGGGGAAAAATTTCTGAAAAATGGTGTAAGTTCCTTATCACCCCTGTTTTAGTCACTTAGTTAATGTTTGTTTTTGTATAGGTTCTTTCCAACCTGAATTAAAAAATCTTTTATTAATTCAGTTTATAAGTGTTACAAGAGACGATGTCAACAATTATATGCCTATCTCAGTCCGTACATCTACTCATTAAGTATTTAGAAGAAAAAAAACTACTGAAAATCGGTTTCGGCCCTTACTTCTTTAAAGTTAAAAAAGTAAAGTTTCAGCCTATATACGTCCCACTGCTGGGCACAGGCCTCCTCTCATTTCTGAGAGGGTTTTAGGGCATGGAAGTGTCCACCACGCTGCCCCAATGTGCGTGTTGGCGAACTTCACATGTCTTCGAAAAATCTTTTTTAATCCTCAGACATGCAGGTTTCCTCACGATGTTTTCCTTCTCCGCCAAGCACGTGGTAAATCAGCACTTACATTGCAATTAACAATTTCATTGGTGCCGGCGGGGATCGAACCCGGGTTACTCGCGTTCTGTTATATTTACAGCGAGCGTTAACCATCTGAGCTACCATGGCTTACTTTTTTAATCATTGATAATGTTGATCATGGAAAAAAATGTATTACAGTTGTTCTTGATTTAAACAAGGCTTATGACACCGCCTCTCTTCCCACTCTAGTTGCTATACTGGAACATATTGGCATTTGTGACAAACTACTTGAATTGCTGAGGGACTATTTGCAGTGACAAACTCAGAGGGTAAAAATTGGAGACTACCACAGCCAAGACTTTGACATTATTTACGGCGTACCACAGGGGAGTGTCTTAAGGTCCTACTCTATTTTACATATATATAAATCAGCTCACAGAATTGAATATCGAGGGTGGGCAAGTCTTTTCGTGACTGACTTGACACTGGCAGAATTCCATCAAGAGAAGCCATAATTTAAAAGAAGAAGAAGACACTACTATTGTGTTTACTGATGTTACTTGGAAATGTGTATTTGAGAAGGCTGAAAAAGGTCTTGCTAAGTTCTGTAGATGGCTTAGACATAATCTACTGAACCTAAATATTAATAAAATCTGCTTCACTACAGATAAAAGAACACAGCCCTCTATTGAAACTTCACTAAAAATTGATCAATCTGATGATGCAGATTTTAAGAAAACTTAATCATTAAACTACCACAGCACAGAAAACATTTTATGTCACATAATTAAATAGTATATCCATTTCATTTTTCATTTAATGTTTTCATTTATTTATTTATTTATTTATTTATTTATTTATTTGCTTCTTAGTATGTATGTTACATGATATACTGTTAAATACTATGCATACACACTAAGTCTCTAATGGAGACATGCAAATTTATTTATTCTTAGAAATTATATTTATACAAAATTAACACATCAAAATCAATCATTATTAAATCATTAAATTAGCAACAACAAACAATCCATCCAATTATATTCTAAAGATATCAAAAGTACAAAAAAAAAAATAATTAACAAATAAAGTAAATTAAATTAAACAATATTATATACCATGTCAGTTTATAACAAAAAAAAATGTCAATTTTGAGCTATAGTCCTATAAAAGTTTTCATCAGTAATTTAAAAGCTCGTTTACGGAGTAAAATGTTTTTTGAAGAAGCCACTGGTATAATTTTTTTTTGAAATGTTTTTATAGGAAGATCTTTGATTATGTTTGGTATTTTATTATATATTGTTTTACCCATCCAGTAACAATTTTTACTAAAGCGTTTACTTTTCGGTATTTCGCTAATTACTATCCGATCTGGGTATCTCGTGTTCATGGATACCACTTCTTTGTTAAGTTTATAAAAACTTTTCCCGTGTTGTTTTACAAATTTAGCAACTTCTAATATAAACAAGGCACGGGTAAGATTCCCAGTGTCTTAAATAGAGGTCGACATGAAACATCTGGGCCCACACCATGAATGGCACGAACACATTTTTTTTGTGCAATAAAAACTTTATTAATCTCTGCACTGTTGCCCCAAATTATAATTCCGTAGCGGATAATCGACTCAATATATGCAAAATAAGTCATAATTGCAGTTTGTTTTGTTGCCACTTTTGTTAGTCTATAAAGCGCATATGTGAACCTGTTTATTTTATTACATATTTTACAAACTTGTTCTTTCCACTTTAATTCTTTGTCAATAATTATACCTAGGAATGTCATATTAGTTGCACTACAAAGAGTTTGTCCATTATAATTAATATTTATTAAATTATTATTTATATTATTGTAATTTATATATTGAGTTTTACTTAAGTTTATTGTTAAATTATTATTACTTAGCCATTTAGTTACGTCAAATATTGTTTGATTAATGTCAAAATTATGTTTTGTTAGTGACATATTTTTATTTGTTGTGACTATTACTGCGACGTCATCTGCGAATAAAATACTTCTATATTTAGTAATTTCAGGTAAGTCGTTTAAATATATCAAAAATAAAAGTGGACCTAGTACACTACCCTGAGGTACCCCAAACGCATTTTTTCTAAATTTGGATCTATAACTTTGACTTACATGTCTATTGTCAAGTTTTAGCACCTCAACACATTGATGCCTGTTTTGTATGAATGACTTAATCCAGTGATATGCTTGGCCTCTAATTCAGTTTTGATCTAATTTGAACAAAAGCTGATCGTGTGATACGAAGTCAAAAGCTTTTGACATGTCAAAGAAGATGGCCGTAGTAAATAGTCCGTCATTAGTATTTTGTAAAATATTTTTTATTAAATTCATTTATTTTTTTAATAAAAATTAAAAATTAAAAATAATTTCATTTATTTATTTATTTCGTCGATAATAGGTATTATATAGATGTTAATTTCATAATTATATATTCAAGTTCAGCTATGTCCCACACTGCAGGCATATGAAACATAAATTACAAAATACAAATTACAAAATTATTAAAAAGTACAAAAACATTAAAGTAAGTACCTAAAAATAACTGTATGTAATGCAAATGTAACAGAAACAAACTTTAGTGGATACAGAAATTGAAAAAAATAAAATAAATTAAGCATGTCATAAATAATTGAATAATGACTGTGCCAATTTATTATGTACATTTTTTAATTAAAGCTATTAGGTATCTAAAAAA